ATTGAACACCCCTAAAAATCGGGTATGCAACGGAGAAAGGGACATCAAATTCTGTCTCTCTCACACACCCACACCCCTACACATTTTGTTTTCACATGTTAAAATTTATATTTATGTTTGAATAATGTTATACTTACTAAAATTTTTATCAAAAAATATTTTTACTAAATGAGTTGGTAATTCCATATCCAATCAAAAACATTTGGATCAGTATTTAGTGGGTTCAAGAATGATCTGAAATTGTCAACTCATTTGATAAAAATTTTAATATGCATAACAACATTCCCTTTTTTTATGTTTTAATCCTTGAACTGGAGCTAGAGGAACTGCCTGTGGAGATCTGCCAGAAGCAGGAGCAGCAGCTGCTGCTACTTTCGACAAAGACCTGCTATGTATGAATGACACGTGTGTAAGAAATATTTCTTCCGTGCATTAATTCATGACTCACACACACAGGTATAATCTAAAATCTTGTAATTTTTAAATGGGAATGTTTATTATAAATCTTATACAGAAATCCTTAAAATTCTTAAATGGGAATGTTTGGTGAAGTATGTATGTGTAGCTGATGACCACAAAAATCGACCCTCACTCAATAATTTCATCATCACTGGGCTTACCTAAAAGAGTGTGTAAAATTACAATAGCATCCCCTAATTTTTTGATATTTCTACTGCATCTCCTAGTGTTTATGAAATTGCTGTAGACTCGTTACAATGTGAGAACTTGCTTCATTCTGTTGGGTCATAGTAGGGGTGGCATCATCGCTCATTGGCTCTGTCAATGTCATGGAAAGGTTCCCCAAGAAAGTTGCAGTTGCTGTTTATCTTACCGCTTATATGCCTGCCCGGTCCTAACTTCACTAATCAATCGTTAGATACTGCTTCATTAATTTCCCTGATTTGATAGGATAGGCCTCGGATAATTCTATGGTACAAAAAAACTATTTAAATTTTAATTTAAATAATTTATAGCTATTGAACAATAATAAAATAAAGGGTAAATTATACTCGGATTTATCACTTTTTCATATAAACTCCTTCATATTTAAAACATTACATCCAAACCCCTTAAATTTTATACACGTGTTACAATTTCATGATGTCATCAAAATATGCAAGTTTAATTTCAAAAATACCCTTTCTTCTATGGGACGCAATGTCAATTGATATTCTCACTATTCTATCTTCGGATAGCCAATTGACCCATGGGTGCATACGAGAAGCAAAGTGATTGAGGGAGAATGTAACAGTGGGAATTTTTCTTGCTATTTCTAAATTAATTCCTTTATAAATTAAATCTTCCTAATTTTGGTGCTTTTTGTAATTTTTTTTTTAAAACAAAATCTTGTTAAGTAAAATAAAGTCGTTTAAATTAAACCTTGTTAATCTTGATTCTTTTAATTTTGTTAACAAAAAAGTTTTTAATGGATTTACATACTTATACTTCAAATCATTATGTCTTTTACCCTTGGTTGAATACGTAAAATTATATAATAGGTGTATTAAAGGGACTACTCAGACAATCTGCTAAAAATAATTCCTACAGGAAAATTCAATGGTACCCAAAAAAAAATTTGGATATAGGTATCGCCAGTAACTATTTTTTATTAGAAAGTCACAACTTTAACATGAGAAATTATAACTGTTCAAAAGAAGGTCATGATCGATCATAGACACCCATGATCGATCATGAAATCTCGATATTGGTCTTAACCTTTTATGATTAATCACGCTCTTTAAAATTGTAATTTTACTTTAAAAAGTTATAAATTTTGGTACCGGTATCACCGTAGCATTGTATCCTTTCCTGTATGTATAAGTGAAGACAATTTACATGCATAGATATATATTCATCAACCTATGTCGAAAATCAGTTTAATAGTAACCCCTAGAAATGTACCACCATACATGGGATAGTTAACAATTATAGAAGTTAACCGAAACGATGATTAGGTTGTAAAATGCTAATCTCCACCTTAAATTTTACGATTAACACTAATTGAGTAAATGTTTGTGATTCTTCCTTCCTATAGAGTTGTTTCTTGGGTACCCTTTGCAATGCAAGTCCAAATGTGTATATTTTTTCTTCTTGTCCCTTAAGTACGTCCGATAAAATTAAAATGATACAGAAAATATTAGCATAACTTTTACACAACAATGAGACGCATAAATCGAGAAATAGTTCAAATGTATATTTTTTCTTCTATTATGGTTAAAATATTAGTTGGTACATTTAGTATGATTAAAATAAAAATAGATAGATTTACTGTGGTTAAAATATAGGTAAGTGTGTAGATTTGTTGTGGTTAAAATATACCAACGAGCCTTTGATCTAATGATACTCCTTACTTTATGAAAGTTTTGTCTTCTTGAGGTCAAGGGTTCAAGTCCTTCCTCCCCTTCCCAAAAAAAAAAAAAAATTGGGGTTAAAATATAGGTAAGTGTAAATTTATTGTGGTTAAAGTATAAATAAACGGATTTATTTGTCAAGAGTGTTTAAACCAATTTACGTGCATCTCGACTAATTTCTTTTTTAGTCCGATTAAAAACAAGTTATCTATGCCAAAATTAGAGTATTTACCAAATATAGAAAGGATAATTAACATGTAAAAAAGGCTATCACTGCAAATCTGAAGGAAGTTGTATTCATACTACCGTCGTGTACATCTTGCAAGCCAATAACAGTTTTTCAAAATTGAATAATTGAGGATTCTCATTTCAATGGATTAAAGCTTGTGTCTTTCCACTATACTTTAGTTATGTATAGATGTCCGAACTAGCCATCCAACCACTGTCCTCAGCCTTGTCATGTGAATAGGAATAAGAGCCCCGGTGCTCGAGGTAAAGCGAGCACCGAGGAGGGAACTGTTTATCAAATAACCGTCACTTAATACTGTTTAACGAACCACTGACACATTTTTAATAAAAAAAAACGTGTCAACGTATATCGCTTAAACAACACTCAACTTGCATGTTTATCAGTAATGATAATTCCTTAAAGCACACTCTCACTCAAAATTGTCTATAAATACCCCCACAAATGAGGGGAAAATGTAGGTACTAAGGGAAAAAAAGGGTGAGGTTATTTTCATTCCTTAAATTTTTTTTTTCATCTATATTTACCACATTAGTTACTAAATTTACCCTATTTGTGTAATTGTTTGATGTGACGTTGATATTCGATTATGTCAAAATTTTATATATTTAAAAAAAAAATTATCAATCATTTATGATCTCTTCAACATATCTCTTTTAGAGTATCAATACAATAGCGTTTTAAGAATGCCAATTTCGAAGATAGAAGGAGTAATAATGGCTTGCATACGCAGTGTAGAGAGAGAGAGAGAAAATAAGAATAAATGTTTAAAATTCAAATGAATGATAAAATATAATCAAATCTTCACTGATTGAAAATAAACTATCAATCAATTATGCATTATTTAAAGAATTTTAAACAAATAATATAAATAAAAAGACATCTTAATTTTGTACCTAATAATACAATATTTTAGTAAAAGTAAACTTAACAGAATACAAAACTTATCAATATACTTCTTCTCAAATAAGTTTAAAAAAAATTTCTCCCACCCTAAAAAATCTATTTTTAAAATTAGATTGAATTTCACAAATCAGACTAAAATTGGGTTCAATTCATGTCCAATCCTCAGGTTCATGAATAGAATTGAAATTCGAACTCAATTTAAGTTGTTTTCGGGTTGACAGTCAATTCAATTCGAGTTCGATTCTAAGGTTACATCACGTGGCTAAAATTCAGATGCAATATAAATTAAACCCGAATTTGTGAATTTGAGTTGGGTGCTAAAAACCCAAAAACTTGATCCGAATACTATCCAAATCAAAATATGGGTTGGATTATGTAATCTAAAGCTAAACCTGGTACTAGAAACCTTTAAATATGAAAATATTTTTCAGTTAATTAACCGCAATATGCATCCCATCTCTAACCCAGCTCCTTCACTTTCTTGGCACAGATCTCTATCCATATAGTATGTCGGCATGTGGTACATCAATCCCAGTTGATCAACAATTTTCTGTCTGCTGCACAATATTTCTTATAACATTGATATCCCTATTATTACAATCTTTCAAACAAAATGCTAGAGAATTTTTTTTTTTTTTGTTCAACAAAAAAGAGTATCTAAGTCAACATACACACACCTCGACTAATCCTCTCTTCAATCCAGACAGAGACAAACTATTCATGTCAGAATTAAAATATTCATAATGAATAAATTTCTCATGACCTGATCTCGAGGGATTGTTAAAATTTAAATTCAGAATGTCTAAGTTTACAGCTCTTACATATTACCACTTGATCAACAAATTTCTATCTGCCGCACAATATTTCTTATAACATTGATATCTCTTACTACAATCTTTTTACCAAAATGCTTAGAGAACTTCTTTTCCCCTTAACTTCCTTGTTCACTCTTAGACCGTAAAAGATACCTCTGCTTTTTTAAAACCTACATCTTGTAGAAAAGAGAAGGGTGGGTGGCTTTGCGAAGATTAAAAACAATAACACCAGACAATAAAGAAATTGAGTGTGAATGATTAAAAATGTACAATCTTACATTCATCGATGAGGTAGGATATGGTGATCGTAAAAACAAAAAAAAAAATTCAAATCAAACGCTGAGAGAAAAAGTTGGTGCAAAATCTTCCAATAAGAACTCTGAATCCTCAATGCTGGTTGGCCATTTTTGCCTCAATAACCAAATGAAATCCTGCAAGTTTTGATGTAACAGAACAAGAGACTGACCGAAATCCTCCATATTTGTCATGCGCCATCTCTGCACTTACGAACCTCTTTGTACTCAGCAGGCGGTATATTGGATTTTGCCTGAAAGACCCCGATCATAAAATATAGAGAACTAAGATCCAAAATTTTGAAAGAGATAAAAGCTTATAATAGCTTTACATTCTGAACTACGGAGATTGAAAGATGCTCCAACCATAATCCATTAGTCAACTAAACTCTAGGTTAGATCACGTCTCAGTAGTCTTTCTCTTACGATCTGATCCTGAGGCAACATTAGTTTGGGCCTGACCAAAAACTGACCTGCATTTTAGTTTTGTCACAGCCAATATATGAGATAGGCACTACAATAAATGAATAAGCATTTAGAAAATAATTTCACTTTTTGATGATACGTCAACAAATAACTTCACTATTTGGTAAAACTATATGAACTAAGCACGAGAAGGATTTGGGCTGAAGTCCACACACTGTAAACCATCACCAATTTCTTGTCACGTATGACTCGCAAGATGATAGTTCAAATTCGAGTTTTCATTTTGTGAATGTATAGTCAAAAAGTATTAAGTTTGATCAATTTCCAAGCTGTTTGCCAAAGATGGTAACTCGAAGGCCAAGAAGAAAACGTTAATTATGAAAAGGTTGCCTTGTCTAACAGTACTTGAGAGTAGATGTTTTCTTCCTAGGACTCCGTCTTATCAACACTGCTTTCTTTCCTCTTCTATCTTTTCTTAGGGCAGCTGTAAGAAGAGCATAATCATACCCTCACCTGAAAAGTTCCCATGCTGGTAGTATAAAGGAAAGAAAAGAGAAACAAAACAAAGGGAATTGATAGTGGGAGATCACGAAGATACTGATACTTCATAACTAGAAGGTTCACATACCCAATCTCAAACCACTTTTGAGAAGCCTTGAAGTATTGGGGTTGGACTTTTCAGGATATTTTCTTTAAAATAGAAAAGAAAAAGGAAACATGGAACTTGGAATCAGTGTAAATATTGATCTAGTATACTTGTGCTATCTAATGAATGTGCATTCACAGGAAAATACTAGTAAGATAGCTCGATCTCATCAGGACTTAAAAATCAGTAAAACACAGTTTTGTCCAAACTAGATACGTTCGGGTTTGAACCCACAACCTCTAAATTTAAGCCATTGAACCCATCGACCCCTACGAAACAAGTACCCTAAAAAATAATATCGGAAAAAGAAATGGTGCTCACCCACAGGTTGAACATTGCTTGTGATGCTTACAGAAAATGGATAAACAAACAGAGCATATGTAGCCCATATCAATTGTATTTTTGTGGCAAAAGCACCTGCATATGTCAGGATTTTGATAATGTTAATTGCAATAGATGATAAACATTAAAGGAAATAAAGAACTATCAGAAATTAGTGCATGAATAAAAGTGAAGCAACAAAAGCTTCTCCTTGTACAAGTTTGCAATCACTGTGAAGACACCACAGATGCAATTACACAGAGAAGACACATCTAGCTTGCTTTTGAGAGCAACAATTCAGATGCTACTTGTTTACAAACCATAGATGTTTGAAGGGTACAATGAATCATTTGATCCAAACAGTAGCCAATATAATCAAACTTGAGATACTAAGCTGAGAAACAACCAAACCATAGCTGTGGTTCAGAAAGTATTAGCCCAGACACACGGACGGAACCAGGATCTTCTCGTGAGGGGGGCCAAACAAAAATAATTACACAAACAAAATTTATACAACAGGATTATCAAATAAGTTATCATTAATGACAAATTTACATTTATAGACCCTATAAAATCAACTTCTATATGATACAATTGCAAAAAAATAGTTTGGACCATAAAATTCAAATCTTAGTTAGCAACATAAAATTAATTTATGACAATGCCATAGTTCACTTATTCCCTCGTTCACACATAGTTCAATGTCTACAAATAAATTACTATCGCAAAAATTATTTTCACGTGATACTATCATAAACATTAATTGACACTGTATTATTATAATATATGTCATTCATATTAACCAAATAACTTTCTTTCATTTTTTCTTTGGTCACATACTCATACAAACATGTGTCTTAAGGAGAAACACTAATTCATGTAATTAATACATCCAATTTGTTATCAAAGACAACTAGGATTTTTGAATACACTAATTAAATTACGCACCTATATAATTTTTTTAAAAATTTTAGGATGAATATAGGATTTTAGAAAACTTAAGGGGGATATAGGGTATTTTGAAAAATTGAGGGGGGCCATGGTCCCCTTGGCAATAAGGTGGTTCCGTCAATGCAAACACACATCACCAGCATACCTAGCATTTCTTAAAGAGAGAAGCATCCTAAGAAGTGTCGTCTTCTCAATGGAATCTGAATTTTGCTCTCCTTGTGCCAAGTGGTAAGTGATTATAGCGACTCACTGACTCCTTTATAGCAAGTATCATGTTACAACCTTGTACTTGCTTATCATAAAGAGTGCTGGTTGATGTATACAACATTTTTTTCTTTTTTATTTCTAATTGACATACATGATATCATCTCATGTATGTTTTATTGGTGCCATGTTTGTCCCCTATTTTTGATGAATTTGCCACCTCCATGTCTTATCCAGCAAACATAACTTGCTCCCAAAGTGTAAAAGGTGCATAGAGCAAAAAAGGCAAGAGAAAGAGACTAAGAGAGAGAATTCTAATACAATATTATTAAGCATCTTTTCCAGTATTTATATATGAGAAGAGTTCAGATTTATACCATCGGTAGCACACGTTTTCTGTGCATTCTTTCTTCATAACTTCATATTTTTCATGGAACTGCTGTTAGTTTCCAGTTTGTATTCAAAACATAAATTTAGTCATTTCCATCTCAATAGGCACAACTTTAAGCTGCCTCTCCGAAAAATCTCATGACAGACTCGAGGGACCCTCAACTATACAAGCTTTATCAAGGCTTAAGTGAGGAATATCCTCATTGTGCTCCAGCCTAGACGATCTTGCAAACTTTTACGGGAGATAATGCATATGGATCCTTTATAATTCAAGAAAACAAAAAATCCCACAAATGGAGAAAACCTCTAATCTACATGTGTCTCTCACCTACAGGCTACAGATGGAGAAGAGAGAATTATACTACATCCCAGTTCAAGGGATGGAAGAAAATCATCAAGAAAGAACCCAAATATCACAATATGCATACTGATATTAAATGGCACGACAGAGCTCCTTTGTGTCCTGGCTTAAAAGAAAATAAATAATGCAAATCAAAAATTTTGAATATGAAACTTGACTGCCAAAAATAATGCAACAAAGAAACAATGAGCATCCATGTGGAAAGTCCACATTACAATGATAGAGACGCAGTTGTACTTACGAGGCACGAAAATCCACCCCTACAGGCTTAGGAAGTTGTAAAAAGCTACGACAATGCAAATCAGCTGCAAATACTGTCTGCACATAACCCCAGTAATCTGCATTGGTATCCACACAATGAAAACTAAAGACAGAAATAAGGCAATACATCATGCAAACTTCCACACTGCTACTTTAACCACACAAGAAATGTACGCCGAAATTCAAATTGAAAAAAACCTTGTGTGAATAGAGATAAAAAGCTCAAAAGGTATCTCCTCAAATCATTACAAAGTGCTCATCCGTGCATCTCATGTAATCTCCCTTTCTCCTTCCCCCCCCCCTTTCCAGGCCCGGATACCACTAACCCATTTGACACAAAAAGTAAAGCCTGGATACCACTAACCCATTTGATGCAAAAAGTAAACCTAATTGCAATCTGCAAAGCGAAAGGTCAATAACCCAAGTCGAAGACCCAAAAGAAGTTGAATCAAATAATGAAATACATATTGCAGGCCAAAAAATTCCCCATTCTGCATTATCTAATTGAAGCCAGAAAAACCAGATAGGATCAACCATTGAGAGAAACCCAATGTGAAATAACAACCAACCATCAAAGCCAAAGCAGCACCCTTCTTAGAGGTGGCCAAAGAGGTGAGTAACAACTCAACCCCGAGAATATCAATTTGAGAGCACCCATGGCAATTCTCGTAGAATCAACAAGTGCCTAAATATTCCCCTCCATTGTCAAAGAAATCAAAGCCACCTTAGACAGAGGGTAAAATCCACAACAGGCCTTGATGAAAAGGCCCAACTCCGTCCTAGAAATCACCAACCTATAAAAGCAATGTCTTAAAATACAAACCATTTTAACTAGCCGGAACCAGAGCAACTGCCGAACTTCAAAGCACCCAAGTAAATTCATCCTACTCTACGAAACTAGGAGTTTTTAAAGAAAATTGGACATCAATAGTGAAACCAATAGATCCAGACATTTGGTGTCTAATGCTTCAGTACCTAGAATTAAGGATGAGGCCTACTGCTGTTTATTTTTTTCGATAAGACACAACATTTTACTGACAATCATAAGAAAAAATTTACAAGAAACAAATCAATGATGGACAAGGAATCCAAACAACGACTATAAACCACATGAAGCTCTCCAACTTATTCTAATACAAAAGAAAGGAATATCCTCAAACTCCTTAAATGTGAAAGTCCCAAAAGAAGCCAAAAAATGAATTCTATCCCATAATCCCTCAAGTTCTTCACACTTATTCTCAAACATCCTTGCTTTCTTTTCTTTCCAAATCACCCACAAAGTAGCAAAGAAACTAAGAAAGCGTTGTACCAAAGAATGTTCCATTTTCTATTTCCCCCAAACCCCACATCATTTAAACAAAACATAGAATTCATATCCCTTGGGGCGACCCAACAAAAATTCTCAAGACCAAAAAGTTTATTCCACAAATTTCGTGCCAAAGAGTACTGCAAAAAAAGATGATTCACACTCTCATAATCCCTTCTACACATAACACACCATTGTGGTTGAAGACAAAAATGAGGTCTCCTCTTTATTAATAGTCATCTTAGTAATTTCATTACAGTTTAGCCGGAAACTTAAGATCCATGACAAACCATTGATAGAAGGCTAGCCACAAAACTGGAGCACTACCCAAAACCCGTAGACAAGTACCGGATTGCTAAATGACTCTTGCACACAAGCCTTCTTGCTACCAGTGCAATATTTATGATATGGGTGTGCTCTTCTGATCCCAATTATAGTTTCCAAAATATTGTCTCAAGGTACAAAACAACAAGCTGGTTTTTCAAATATTCAAACATTATCTACCTTAAAAATAAAGACAACAGCCAAAACAATTGTGCCTCAATAGCACAAATTCGTGATTGACATAAAAGGAAAGATAATAAAGGCTTAAAATCAAGTATTTAACCAACAGATATTGGATGTTTCTAGGTCTTTGGTGTCCTATGTGCCCATATACACAATTTGTTTGAATTTCAGTCAGCAATATTCTTATAAGGAATATGACCTTTAGCTGAGACAATAAATAAAGACTAAGACTCCTGTCTTACAGTTCTTAAGCCAGGTGATCACACGATAATTTTCCCTGAATCACAGTAAATCACAAACAAAAGCTCATCTACATGCTTCCAAGAAAAATTCATACAATGTTAGCTTACAAATACAGAAATAGGATATCTTCCAGATAATTGGAACTAACTACAGGCTGCCTAAGTGGGAACAAGGAATTGTGATGATAAACATTGCAACTATGAATAGGTTCCATATTGCCTATTAAGAACCTACCGAGAGATATTGAAACAGCCCTTCCAGTAGCTGGGGCTTCAAGTATACACCCCCAGTTATATAAGATGCCTGTTGCTCAAATACACATTACAGACAATCAGTAATGCCAAAAAATAACTCCTGATAAGTACATAATAAATTTAGCAGCAGTGAATTTGCCAACTAAATAGAAACATATGCTACCTGCTGCAAGAAAGCAGAATGTTGAGATCCTATAACGCATGAATCTATAGGTACCTGCAGTAGGAAGCGAATCAGACATCGAACTTGGTAACTTGATTGATGTTTATGGTGACTCACAACGATTTGTAAATGAATGAAACTGGGGTAGTTTTCCCTGCTTCCCAAGACAATCACATGATTGTCACCTAATTACTAGCAAACATTTGCAAGAGAATGTAGGCACTTATATATCAATTTCACCCAAGCAACCAAGAATGAGGATTATCCATCCAGTTTACAACTGCAAAGGTACTAATAAAATATCCAATCCAGAGTAATATAAGTTGAGGCCATTTTAATATTCACCCAAGAAAGAAGCATCTAACTAAAAAGTCACTTAACTCAACAAAGTCTTGTCCTAATCTTTTTGGGGTCGGCTATATGAATGTTGTTTCGTCATTGTACTCTATTAAGGGTCATATTTTTTGTTAGACCATAAGTTACCACATATTTCTTTACCATTTCATTTAAAGTTATTTTGGACTTCCTCTATCCATATGCTTACCATCTATAGCGCTATTATATCACTCTTTCTCACCAGGATCGTAATATGCCTCTATAAATATGTCCAAACCACCTAAGTTAATTCTCTTTAATTTATCTCTTATATGTGTTATCTCTACTTCTTCACAAATATAATTGTGTCTAACTCTATCCTTCTTAATTTTACCATACACCCATCTTAACATACTCATTTCCATCACATTGAATTTTTTAACGTGTTGTGTTTTAATTGCCCAATACTCAGTACCATAAAACATAATTGGTATTATGGCCGTTCTATAGAACTTTCCTTTAGCTTAAAGAGTATGCGTCTATCACACAATACACCGAATGCATTCCTCCAATTAGTTCATCTTGCTTTAATTCTGTAAGTAAAATTATCACTAATCTCACACTCTCTACGAATAATAGACTCAAAATTGTTTCGGTATCCCTTGACCTTTAATTTTTAGTACTTCCCGGTTTGGACTCCTAGTCCTACTTTACTTTCCACATATTCAGTTTTTGTCCTATTTTTCTTAAATCCTTTTGATTCTAGAGCTTCTCATCATATTTTTAGTTTATTATTAATTTCTTCTTTGCTTTCTCCGACTAATACAATATCATCTGCATATAACCCATAAACTTGGAATTAACCCATAAATATGTAAGACAGACAACTTATAATTTTGAACATGGAAAAAACTATATAGTAATAAACACCACGAGCGGGGAGAGAAAGTCATAGAACCTTTATTCCACCGTAGGATACATTTTCTTGTTGCACATTGTTCTTGAAACTAGAATGATTAAACATATTATTTCACTCTACGTATGCAAGGGTGGTAACACCGTGACAACGGGGATGATAGTAGTGATTGCGGACACACCAACAACCCAATGATAATGAAGTGGTCACCCAGGCAAAGGTAATGATGGATGGCACCCACGGGGAAAAGACAACGACGAATGGGGACCACAATAGGGAGTGCAAAGGTTGGTGTTGGTCTTGCTTGGCCCATTTAGTGTAGAGGAGCTAATAGAGGAGAACGATTTTTTCATTTTACCAAAAGAACAAATGGATGTTTCAAAGAACTAATGAAGTATTGGTGGCAGCAATGAAGATACTAGTGCTTACGGTAGTAGTGCCAAGAATTTTTTTAAGTCCCCCTTCTTTTTTCTTTATTTAATATTTCACTCCATATTACTAGTGGGTGTTATTCACAAATCACAGTACCTCTCACATTATGAGGGGATCTAAACCCGATTCCTACAGCCAATTTCTTGTCCAAGAGATTATTTTAGCTAAACAATTCATTTTCCAGTAAGATAGGGTATATCAAGTACAACAATTACCAACTCTTGTACAAACGACCAATTTTTCTTCCAATAAGTAGCAGTTGGAGTTAAAAACCATTAATTTTGGGTGAAATTTATGATGCCTCTAGGGTTTAAAAAATCCCCCTTCATTTTATAGGATCACATAATGTCCTTGAGAGTCGTACAATGATTTTGTACAAATAAGCAACCAAATATATTCTCGAAAAAAAAATACAATGCACACTCTTAATCTCTGTAGCAAAAGAACCCCAAATAAAATATAGAGGGATTGCAGAAAATTGCAATGATGGGTTGTTAACAAAGCAAGACAATGGACCCAAGTGAGTTAATCTTCTAGTATACTTAAAAGAAGTGTAATAAGGATAAGTTTGAAAATAAAAACCCTTAAGAGCTATGAAGCACGGATCCTTCGTTGAGATTGACGTACTCGTATCCGACGATACTCATCGAATACTCGAAGATACGTATCGGATACACCTTCTACGTATCCGATAATAATTAATTATTAGAATACTTCACGGATACTTTTGTGTCGAGCAACATATATAATGTTTGAGTTAAACTTTTAAAATCTATTTTCGAATTCACGTACCATACAATACATTAACAAAAAAATTCATATTACTTCAAAGGTACATGAGTGTTTCTTAAGTATTATTTACAATTACATATCAAAAGAGTATAAAATAAAGCTATTACATTATTATCGTAGTAAAAATTACTTCTAAATACTAGGTAAATATTAGTTTTGATTTATTTAATTAGTCACTTCACTTTGTGAATATATTACAACGATACGATATATATTTTCTTGAAACTAAAAAAAATTACTAATTTTTCTTATTGTATATTAAAGAATTACCAAAATATATAAGTATTAAGCTAATTGAAAATAATAAAAATATTAAATATATTTTATTATAGTCGTATCTTGGTCGTACCCGTATCCTACTTTTTTAGACTTTGTCGTATCGCTGTATCCGTATCCCATATCCGTATCCGTGCCTCATAGCTTAAGAGTCAGTGTTTCATAGTACCGTTGAACGCTGAGCTGAGAAAATTGAGTTCATGATTGCAACATATCTGAAAAAGGAAAGCCCTGTCAAGGATTATATATCGGAGGAAAAAAAAATTGACTTTTACAAATATTGTCAATGATCATAAGAAACATACTGTCCGGGACCATCTGGTGATCCATGCAAACACAATATCTGCCACCATTTATCACCAACTTTGTTAGAGAATATATCCATCCAACATAATAGAGAGCCAATAACAACATTAATTGTTATAGAACTAATTAATGTGAAAAAAAATATATATGATGACAGGGAAAGGATTGAACCAATTCATTTAGTAACACCACAGCTCATTATGACTAGTTTTATAACAAATCCAATTTCATTTATATAACGAAATCAACCATGCACTAGCACCACATATTCTTAACTGCTAGATGTTGAGCAAAATAAGTTCAACTAATTCACACGTAATTCCTTGCACCCCAAGTTCCACATTTCTTTAGGGGTAACAAATACCAGCGAGGGCAGTTAGCAATGAAAATTAAAATATTCACAATACTGACGAGCAACTATTAGCTATTCAATGATATCTGCACAGATCATCTGACGACATAAATTCTCATTTCACCTAAATAAAACCCATTCAATGAAGGATTTACACATTTGAACTTGCTCGATATATAATCTCAAGAATAGCACTTACACTGCATAAAGTAGCAAATAGTCCACATATTTTTATGCCTGAAATGATGGAAAATAGAAACATATAACTGAGACATTAAATACACATTAAGATTTGCAAAAATATTGGAGAGTTATAGTTTCAACGCTTCCTGATGTTTAGTTCATGGTTAAATTAACAAAATTTCCCTACAAAAGTCACATTGATTTCTAAGTTCGAGGTATACAAAAATCCTACATATATAGACAGCCCATAATACATTGATATTAGTGAGCAACTTTACCCCCTAGGCTTACTCTTTTTTCAAAATATTTATATCCACGCAGCTATTGACCTTCATTTAACAATTACAGAAGTTTGTAGTGTGTCACTTTTCAAAAAAAGCTGAAAAAAACTTCACACAAAGTCCCCGTTCTCTAAGGTACAAGAAACAATTTGGGGCAAGAGTATATCCGGGTTTGTGTTTATCTTTCAACAAGTTTTGCTGCTATTGAAGTAGATGAAATAAGCATCTTATTATGATTCCTCCACCATAAGGTACTTGTACTATTTTGTAAATTGGAGAACAGAATTAAACATTTTTTTAACAGAGTTAGATGTTCAAAACACAACTTTCTGCTATCTTAATAATAAAAAGGTTTTCAGACCAATCAAATGGCCTGGACAATGAAAACGAAGTTTCAAAGCAAAATATAAATAGGGAAGGAAGCCATGTAATTAGTTTCATGTGTGTATCTTGGATGAGCTAAATATGGAGACATTTACATTAGGACCTTAGCATCTTTTGGTGCATCATTATTATTTCTACAGCTTTCAACTTGAACATATCCCATAATTTCTTTGATGAGTACCTTCCAGTCAATCTCCTTCCTTACCTCTTACACATATACTAAATTTCATTAATTCCAAGTTTAAAAAGTCTAAATGCAGCACCCCTATATCAGCATAGTTTTTAGACGACATGTTAGTTACTTGAAATACTTAAACTCCCCTTCTGACACAAAGTGCAGCATTGCTACGATGCAACAATTGAATCCACATGGAAAATCCTGTGAAAATTATCAACCATCAACATATAGTTTGACAAATGAAGCTCAAACCCCCAGCAAAAATATTAGAATGGATATTTATGACCACATGGAGCTAAATGTTAATACTACTTAGGCTAAAATTGTAAGGAGCAATGGATCCAATGTCACGTTCCAAATGACCCTTATTAGGTCTCAACCAAATATCTACTACTTATACCAAGCATTTGATGGACTTTCTTAAGTTCTAGCGTCAAACTCAACACACCATGATGAATATAACAATGTACATATGTCAAAGGTAAAATGTGAAGGTAATTGGTAATTCAATGCTGAAAAGATTAAAGCACTAGTTAGATTAAACCCAAAGAGACAAAAAACAGCCTTTGTACAAATAACATCAGCTAAGTGCAATGATAAATGCAGAGGCCAATAGCTGAAAAGTTGTGGGTGGGATATAAAGACAACTATTGTGTGCAAGTAGTACCAAAATTTATGTCTATACCCAGCCCACCCCTCCCGATTATGACTTCAAATAAACAGAAAATACTAAGCCATCATTCCGGAAGCTAGTCCCTAAAACATTCGAAACAATAAGGCAACTAACCAAGTGGCAAGTACAATACATGAAAATAAAAAATACACAATGAGACCTTTAAACAAAACTACTTCGGCATTGCATATTTCCAAATTTAGCGAGTTACCCAGTTCTCATTGCACAGAAGCATATAATTTTATAGAAAAACAAATAAATACTCACTCGAGGCTGCGGATGAAGCGGCCCAGAACGAAATACTTTCTGGATATCTATTCATCAAAGTAAATTTCAACAACTTCCATATCAAGCAAATATGTAAAACTGAGCAATATATAACGAATTATGGTCTTAAGGATACAACAAAGAGCCATGGAAAGAGACCCAGATAGCAAAGAAGACCCAACACCCTCAACTGAGTTCTGCTGGGTCAACTCCTCATCCCTAGTCACAAACTCCTCCAACTTCCCCAACAAACTCTCCGCCCTCTGGTTTGGCGCCGCCAATGAAGAATCATATATATAATCACAGGAATTGTAGCCAGTAGCTATAACTACAACCTGGTTGAGCTGATTGAGTAGAAGAATCGAATTCAAAAACGATAGCACCTGTGTGGATTTGCCAACAAATAACAACACAGTAAAAAACGAAGAAGATTTTGGTGAAATAAGAGAGGTTTTAGAGAGAGAGAGGGATTAGAGGTTTTTACGTGAGATAGGAAGTTTGAGAATGTGAATGTGTTCTTGACTGTGCTCCAGAAGAAGGGGTTGGTGTCGATTAAGACCATAAGAAGACTCACATCGTCTGTAATTTCAAAGCAAACATGAAATACAAATGGTGAATATACATATTCAGAAATGTATGCATATCTTATATATAAGCGCATAAATTGACACAGACACGTGCAGGACCTGCGTAGAGCTTTGATGGTACTGTAGTCATGACTGCTTCTGGATTTTCAGACTAACCCCACGCACGAGAGCGAGAGATAGAGATGCTGAAAGGAGAAGACAACGTTGGTACTCGACTCGGATTATGCCCGTTTATTGGGCCTCGGCCCAATATCCGTCTGGACCCTGTTCAGCCGATTGGTTTTCTTCCGGTTTTTGTTTGATTTTTTATTCAAGCTGAGAATGAACAATAGTCTATCAATAACACTTTGGATCCAAATAGTGCCTGTGGCTCGCCAATTCAAGGATCCATATGTTCGTGAGTTCGGGTCTGGTCGGGTCTGTTTGAGACAGTCTTGACTCTTCTCAATCCAGACCTCAGTGGAATTACATATAAAGTTTTTTAAAAAAACATTAGTTCTCATCAATCCCACACATAATTAAATCTCATTAAATATTTTGGTTGCTAAAATTATAATTAAATCTATTTATTTTTCTTTTTTAACATGCGAAAATTATTAACTTCTAGGGAAGCTATCTAAATGGAGAGCCTCCGTGTGCATGGGTGGTTGATAAACACATATTATTGGAATGAAACAGCAGGTAATGGATATATTTCTCCCACCTGAGCTCGCTATTGGTGGGTCAAATCCCTCTATTTTATTAGGATTTCTTTTATTTAATTTGTAAGTGTCAAAAAAAGGGGGGAAAGATAAACGATATATAAAAATTGTGTTTTGTATGCTAATTATTACTTGTTGTGATTTAATGCGCTTTAAACTCATAAATAAACACATACAATTAAAAAACAAATCAATAACATAAAACCATGAGAAACAAGAAATAATAAGGCATACAGATTTTACGTGATTCAGTAATTTATCTAAGTTCACAAAGTTGTAGGAATTTCACTATTGAGAGAGAGGAATACAGAGGGCGACGATACAATACACATCAAATCCTAATCACAAAAACAACAGGTTTTATATGTCTTGCGCACTGGGCTGCAAAACATGGCCCAAAAATTTTTCTCGAGGGCGTTGCCCTATCAACCCAAGCCCCCGCTCCATAAACTAAGCTTTAAAAAAAAAATTATTAAAACCCAAGCAACATTGTTTCGGGTTGGGTTAGGAATTGAGTAAATATGATCCTTAGCTCTAACAGTGGCCTACATTAGTGACAGAATAATTATTGATAGAAAGGTTCAATTGCGGAGACTTGTACACACTCACAAAAATGCTAGGTGCAAAATAAACCCCATACCAATCCAAAAAAAAAAAATTTAACCTCATGAGACACTTTTGAATATGTTTATTGATCGAGTTATTACAAAATATACTCTAATTTTATAAAATTTGTTTTGTTAACCGCTTAAGCTTTAATTTGTTTCAATTAAGCTTTTTTTATTGTTGAATTAATTCTACATTGCCTTAGATACTTCAATTAAGCATTGGGGGTAGTGGGGTTACAAGTTAAGGTTTAATTCTAAAGAAAAAAAAAGAAGAAGATGACAAGCAGGTCATAGAGTGGTCTGATTAGGTTAAGGGTGTTTGAGATTTTATTATTATTTAACTGAAATACTCATCTGAATCGATGATCTCAAACAAAAGTGCTCGATTTGTTACAAACTCTATAGAGTCACACCCATATTGATATCGGACCCAGGGTCAACCTTAATCAATCAACTGCTAACCGTGTTTAATGTGTTCATAAGTTAATAGGTTGGATACTTGATTTATTAATGCAATTTTTAAATGAGCTAGATAGTATTGTTTTAGTTACTTAAATGAATATTATTGGTGGTTAGCCGCTATGCTAACTTAGTTAAGTTTGGTTTCAAGAAGTGTTTCAGACGCGGTCAGGGATCTTATGATTCCACCGGTGATGCCCTATCGGGGTGGTCGCTGGACGTTTTTTTTTGCCCCCACCCCTTTTTTTCATGAGTAAAAAAAAAAAACTTAAATGAATTAAAATTGTTTCAGAATTAAAAACCAATGAGCTGAATACTTTTTAACTGCACAAATTTTTTTATTAAGCTCGGCATTTTTTTTGGGACAAAGCTATTTGCGTGCCCATAGTGACGTATAGAGTAATTTCGCCAAATACCAAAGAATTTGAAGATGTTAAAGGTTAATCCGTGCAACGTAATTATAATTATATTTTAATCAATTCACCCAACGGTAATGATGTTAAAATATGTAGGGGTGCAACTTGGGTTGGGCAACCCGAGCCCAACCCAACAAAATTAGGGCTTGGGCAAGAGTTTTTAATATTTGGATTGGGCTTGAGTCAAAAAATCTCAACCCGAATTCAATTTAGGTTGAACTCGGGTTAAGGGCTCGTGAACCAGAGTTCAACCCAAACCCGACAAATAAAAAAAAATTATATATATATAAAGCATTAGCATTGATTTTTTATTTTTGTTCTATCATTCTCTGTCTCTCTCGTTAAAAATTTTGTTGAAGTTATTGGTTGTTAATTTAGGTGAATATTATGTAATATATGTATTAGGTTTAGAACAAAAAATCTATTTTGGACTCTACCCGAATTGAACCTGTAAAGTAACCTGAAACCATCAACTCGAATTCAACCTGAGCCTGCCTGAATTAAACTCGGGCAGTGCTCGGATTGAGTTCCCCAACCCGAGGTAGAGTTAAAATTAGGGTTAGGGTTGAAGATTATATACCTAGGGTTGGGCTAGGGTTGATTGTCCAACCCGCCCGAGTTGCACCCCTAAAAATATGATATAATTCGTTGATACGATATAAAATCAGAGGGTTTAAATATTCCTCAAACCACCTGTTTCATAAACGAGTGAATCCGACACAATTAATAAATAAATTTGATATAAATTTATTCAATCAAAATAAATAAACGATATGATTCGTTTATATACCGATTATTATAACTGGCAATTATAGACATAACTCGTGAAACCGACACGGATTTAGCGGGTTTGGGTGTAGTCTTAATGGGTTGGGGTGGTTAACGAGTTAACTCAACAAACCCGTGAAATAAACGAATCGGTTTCGTATTTAACCCATAAACTCGTTTCAACCTGTTAATAGTGGTACAATAAATTTTTAAAAAACAAGTTAAGTCTCTCAGCCTCTGTTTCATCTCACACCTCTCATCTCTCATAATTATTCAAATTTAGTAGTCATTTAATGTTTATTTTTTGTCTTTATTTTTTTGTTCAATCATGATTTATTGTTATAGTAAATAGGTCAAACATGTGTAATGTGTGGCGAGTTAATGATTTTTCATGTAGGCTTGAAATTATATAATATATTCTCTTATTTAGTAGATGACACACGGGTAATATTGGATAACCCGTCTAATAAACGATTTATGTATAAGTGTGGTAGTTAGACCCGTTTATATAAACGAATAGGGTATGGATGGAGAGGTTTTTGACACAAACTCATTTCACCCGACACGAAACGGTTTCACTCGACACGATTGCTAGACCTACCGATTATACACGACATAGACACGATATGACAAGACTTGTTAAACATAACTTAATAAATAAATCGGGTATTGTGGAATAGTTTTTGACGTCTACCCAACACGCTCAATTTGCCACCTATACTTGTGCTCTATAAATTAAATTTTGCTAAAAAAATAAAGAAATTTGAGCCAAATTAGTGAATTACCTCTAATTCGTTCAGGCGCCGAAAATCCCTAAAATATGGTAAAAAAAAAAAAAGATACTACGGGTTAATTATAAATTATATCCTGAAAGATCATTTTAATTTTAATTTATACTTTTAAAGATTAAAAATTTTAATTTATATCCTTAAAAATAAAAATTTGTATCAATGCATACCTGAAACTAACTATCATTGGTTTGCAGTCTAAAATTAAATGGGTAAATTACGTCTAGATTTCTTTATATTTGTCATTTAATCGTTTGGACCCTCCTCAAATTTAGAATATTAATAATACATCTCCTAACATTTGTGCACATGTAACAGATAACCCTTTGTAATTGATATTTGTTAATATAACCGTTAAAAAATATATGATTTCATTCTAATAAAAAAATTATAATTTCATATTACCCTTTATTTTGTAGGTCCATTATACTTTAAAGTTTAAAATCAAGTTTATCATTTGAATGACCAATATAATACAAGTATTTATATAATGTTCTTTATATCCTATGTAATACATCATTTTAACATAATTATTTGAGTGCCTAATTGAAAAAACATTTTTAGTCATATTTGAATTATCATTGGATGTAAGTGTAATATTTCAAATGTGAGGGATTTAAGTAATTAAGTAACAAACAAGAGGTGGTCTAGATATAATTTATGTATTTAGTTTTAGACTGACGACCGTTAGCTTGAGGTGTGCATTGATATAATTTTTTATCTTTGAGGTGGTGTTTGGATCAGCATAAGAGGATTGAATATCAATCCGAACCCAATCCTATCAAATGCAAAGTAGTCCGAATTTGAAGATTGTAAAGTTAGGATTCAAATCTTATTGCATCTTTAGATAGGTTTCATTAAATTTGTGGGTCTCGTTCACATGTGAAGATAAAACATATTAAAATGACTATTTCAACATTGTATAAAATAATGTTATCCAATACTATACCATGTTTGTCATTAAATAAAAAAAAATCCAATCCATTAGCAATGTCATATTTGCGAAAAAAAAAAACGTGAATCAATAAAATATGCATTTTTACAAAATATTGCAATAAATATTTTATTTATTTATTAAATTTAATTTGTACAATATACTTTTACTCACAAAAATCATATGCATCATGAAGAAAAAATTTTAATTTTCAACACAAAAACAATGCAATTGGATAAAAAATCCGAACTTGTGTGTTTAAAAAATAAAACTTAATTTTTGTTTTCAATAAATAGGAAAAGTTATCCAAACCATATTTAATATTTTCAATGATCGAAATGCAATTTATTTTCTATGAATTTTAGGGTATTTTAATATTTTTGCATGAATTACTAGCACAAATCATGTTAATTTAAAATATATTGCTTTAATACAAATGTTAATTTTTTTTAGATTTCATGTATAAGGAAACAAATGGTTGAGGATAAACTTTTTAATATCTTAAAAATTTAAGAAATAATGAGACGTAACACCAAAGAACAATTAACTATTTTTAATGAGATTCAAACCTTTTAATTCAAAGTTGAGGTAGATCGAATATTTTTACACACTTTCTCTCAAATCATGTGCTTGCATGCTACATTCTGTCAATTGAAACAAAATTTGTAATGGTGGCAATTTAGTTCAAAAGTATAAGATACTTATATGCTATTTTTTGAACATAGGGGGTAAAGTGCAAAAAACCCAAACCACTACCATATAAACTGAAATTTAAGCTGGTTAAATTGCTCATCTTCCCTGGCAAAACGCGAAGAGAGTTCCGGATGCTTCCGCTTCTGCATCAGACAGAGACAAAGACAAATACAGAGAGAGAAAGAGAGAGAGAGAAGCATATGGAATCAACACAACGATAAGGCCGCTGAGAAGGCCTGATACTAAGCCTTCTCATTCGCCTGATAAAGAGATGAAGGGACATGTATAAAGGGAGCTCAGGAGTTTGATAACGCGCCTGATCAGGACAATGAAGGGGCAACTGATAAGGGTTCTCTGTGCTTCCAATAACTCTGATAAGCCATCCGTTTCTCTATGTCAAGTCCCACGAAACTCCAATTCTTTTTCAGGCAAGTTCTCTATGTGAGTGAGAGAAAGAGGAGAGAGATATTTGGTTCTATTAAATGGGTTTTGCTTAGTTTGTTTTGGTTTTGATTATAGGCTGGAAATGACTGATGGATGTGTACATTTTCCAGTTGAACTAAAATTACTTGAGAAAAACATTCCGTATAGTTGTGGAGGGTATTTTAGGTTTTAGCCATTTAATTCTACTTCTCTTTTCAACGATCCCTTACAGCAGAAGAGATTTTTGAATCACCAGCAAATGAGATTCTTTAATTCAAAACATACGGCCGATATTTTCAAAAGCAATGAAAATTTAATTCCAAACAACTTACCCAAACAAAGGTTAAATAAACCATTCACAATTTTAATTCAATCTTCTTGTAATCCCCCTCCAAACGCCATCTGAGGGTATAAAATATGATTTTTGAGGGTATAAATTAAAATTTAAACTATCTTTTAGGGACAATTTGAGATTTACTATGACACTACACCGCGGAAAAAAAAAACGAATACAATATTACCGGCCACCGGTTACATCGGTTTCATCTATAAATGTAATTTTTTTTTTTTACCAACTAACAGTGTCCTGTTCAAGGCGGGAACGATTTCCTAATTCCCTCCATTGACCGACCCCTCTCTCTCTTGCTATCTAAAAAATTCTTAACAAATCCCCCAAATTTCACCAAAAAAACCCTAGATTTCCTGAACCTTTTTTTTTGAACGGTGATTTCCCGAACCCTAAATCACCCAATTTGATGGAGAATTCGGCTGCCGTGGAGTTAACGGTCGGCGGAGATTGGGGGCTGCCGGAAGGTACACGTGTGTGCCGGAGATTGGTTCAGTCGACATTGTTTCCTCACAAGTCTCAGGATAATGGGAAAGAGAGCGTGGTTAAAGAAGAGGAAAATTGTGGTGGGGAGGACGATCAGGAGGAAGAGGAAGAGGAAGAGGAAGACGAGTACTGTGGGAGTCAAAGCGATAAGAAGAAGAGAAAGCGAAAATCGAAGCCAAAGGCAAAGAAAACTCCTCAATCGCGTGCTCCCAAGAAGGTGCATTGTCTTGCTGGAAAATTTATATGAATCAATTCCATGTCTGTTGTGTTCGATCGGAGTAATTTAGTGCTAATATATAATATTTTTGGAGTTTTTTTTTTCTGCAAAAGATGAAAACCCCAGGCCAAACCGAAGATTCTAAGAAGGTAAATTGTTTGGCTTTTGATGGAAATTTGCCTAATTTCGTGTGAATGTTCTCTCTTTGAAATGATAAAATATTTTGATTGGTGTTTATTTGATTTTGAAGGATGAAAAAAGTTACCGTAAACAGGTTATCTATACGGCAAGGCTCAATTTCGTTATTTGTTATCTGTAGTAGTGGGTTCGCAACCCAATGGACTGATCTGGCACTTGAGAAAAGGAAGGGCCTCTAAATCCCATGGCGTTGACTGTAACGCTCCCAAGTAGGTCAGTAATAGGCTGAGTGGCTGATAGATCATGTGATCACTGTTGCTGTTTGCAGCTGAAGGAGATCTTTGTGGCATTTTATTGCCCACACACTTGCGTTGAAAAAATTACTGAAAAGCTAAAGATTAGAGACACTGTTGAAGTTGTAGGGTGATAATGAATTTCACATGCGATGATTGGATGTGACAATTTTGTCTTGTAGGATGATTTTAGGTTTGGGTTCTGATGGGATATGATTACACAGATGCTTTTCCGAAAAACTGAAAGCAAGAGTTGGTTTTGAGATCATTTGAGCTGGAATTTAATTCAGAAGTCAGCCGTAACCATACGTCCTGTAATCTGGGACATTAAATAAAGACTACAATGATTTATCATAGACCATGGAGGATCCCTATTGTTGATCACTTCCGAAGTTCAACTGATGCATCAATAAAAGCAAATGATTCACTCTGTGGAAGATAACGAGTAGGGATTCGTCTTGCGAACCTTGACTAGTGATTTGTTACCACAAATAATCTATATTACTTATAATTGGTAGTATCTGTGAAATACTTTTGATTTTCTATTTTGTCACTAATTATTATTATAAAGTCAATTATATCAAAATATTTACTTTTTTTTTTTTATATTTATTTGACTTTTAAGTTCTTTTGAACTCTTTTATTAATAATGCTTGACTTCTAAGTTCTTTAGATCTCATTTATTAGTAGTACATTTATATACAGTTTTTTATATCTATATCTAAATTTACTTGAAGAAGTAAAATACCATCTATATTATATTATTATATAGGCGTAGTTGTCAAATTGAATTCTACAGTCAAATATATGTCATATTTTTTTTTTTTTGGTAATTAACAATGTCATAATATTATCATACGAACAATAGTATCTCAATTTAATCAATCTCTTTGACAAAACAATATAATAAATCTATAATATAATTAGATGTGGAAATATATAATCTTACAATGAAGCTCCATTATGAACAAAAGAGGAATGTCTAAAAGGGTTGAAGAGATATTTAAAAAAATGAAAGATTATGTACTCAAAGAAGGGTAGAATAGGTCAGTAATTAGGTTTAACAATAATTAAAATAAGAATTAGTTATTCAACACATAATTTATTATTCAATTTTATTACATACCTTATTTGAATTTTCTATAGAAAAATTATTATTTGAATATGTTCACGTGCAACACATATCTTCTAGTCTTTTCATGTATCTTATCAATCCTGGAACTAAGGAGAGGGAACAACAAGGTCTCCTTTTGTTAATTTGGATTATAGTATTTGTTCTATGTCCGATTAAGTTAAATTTATGGGATTCAATTATTTGATTTTTGCTATGTTGTTTATGAGATTCAATTAATTTTGGTGGCTGTTTGCGATTTTCCCTTCACATGGGCTTTTCCTTGGGTTTTCAATTGCGGTCTTGTGGATGAGCCAAGTTGCCCAAGCCTAGGTAGAGCTTGACTTGGTTACGACTTGTTCAATGGCTCTTGAGAAGTTTGTGATCCTGATCTTGAGCTTCTTTATTTTAGCTCGGTTGGGAATCACGACAAACTTGAGCAACAAGTTGTTAGACCAGATAAGTTGGGGTTGCATGTGTGAGTGGGTGCTTAGGGAATATGGGAGCTACTAGACTAGTAATGTTATAGAGGGTAGTAGAGAAGGATGGATGGATTTGCAGGGTTTTTAAGTTTTGGGTGGAAATTAGAATAGTCAAAAATTGCAGTTTTAACTAGATGCTTTGTGTGGAGAGTCTGGCATAAAGAGATTTTTATTGACTTGTTAGGTAAGTAATGGACAAATGGACTATTTGGGGGTTGTGTGGTGTTTGGGCCTTTTGGTGTGGTGGAGTACATAAGATTCCCAATTTTTGAGGGGTGCTCGGGGTGGGGAATTAGAGTTACCAAATTGCCAATTTGCCTTATGAAGCATCAGTTGGTGGTGGCTGGTAGGATATCTTGACATATAGGCTTCCATTTCAAATTTGAGGTTACCTCTTTGTGTGAGGCTCTGTGTTGGGAGACAGGACTTGGCCATTCTTTTGTAGGCCATCTGCCCTTTTTAGTTGCCTTCCAAGCTGGGTTTCGAGATGACATTTTCATTGGCCAGACATTGTAACCTATTAAAGAGTGGAAAAGGGCTTCCTAATTAGTTCTTCATGTATAAGAGAGGCAAGGAGAATGCTAATCATCTCTATTTGGATTGTGGTGGCCATAAAGACTTTTGGTGTCTAGAAGTTGAATAGATGATGCCTAATTCTTCTAATGCGGTGTTGAGTAGTTGGTAAGGGGGATCTAATAAGAAAGGTGTAAAGGGTTTGGTCCTTATACTTTTTGGGCATCTGGTTGGGGCATTTTAGGAGGTCCTTTCAAGGAGTAGATAGGCATAGTTTCTGTAGACTTCTTTATGTTGTTGTTATGAAGGAAACTTGTTTTTTTCCTAATTATTTGTGTGTTTGTTGGCAGTATTAGTTGGTTTAATAAGGATTAATTTTGATTACACCCTTAGCCATCTTTGTGTGCACATGGGTTGTTCTCTTACCAACAAATCTTGGATAATGCAAAAAACCCTTTTTCTTTTGTGTAAGATTGATGATGCAAGGAGGTGATTTATGACAGCTTTACTAAACTAGGAATCTAGTTGTTTTTGGTAGGGATTAAGGCTACTGAAAGGTCATAGAGTAAGGTTCAAAAGAGTGGAAGAATGGTTGCTAGTCTTGTAACAACAAGGGGTAAGAAATTGGCTTTATTTTGGGAATGTTTGGTTGTATTTCTGGATTAAGGTTAGCAGTAGTTCTTTACAGGATGTAATGCTGCATTACGGTTTCTTAAATCAAAGGCCTAAAGATAAAGAAAAAGGTTGATGCCTTTTGAGACTGGTGTTAGGGTTTTGGTAACATAAAGACAAGGGTTTAAGGGCTTTCAAGGGCTGTTCTTGTGCTGGGAACAATGACCTAGAGAGGTAATATTGATTTTTTCGGAAGATAGTAGTTGAAGGCAATGATTGGGCTGAATAAGCTAGGATTGAGGTGAAAGTGTAAGGAGAGCTCGTATCCCAGATTGAATGATTAAGACCAACCAATGTTTTTATACGTTTAAGGTGCCTCTCAAGTCTCAACTCATTGCCATTTGGGTTTAGTTTGGATGTTTTAACATGGTATCGTAGCTTAGCCTTAAGTGATCATTGGGTCAAATTTCTTACCCTTTTGAATTTTGCGGTATGCATGTTTGTTTGTTTTCTTAGCCCCACGTGCGAGCCCGAGTCTCACATGCATGAGAGTGTAAAGACAAGTAGTATCCCACTTTGAATGATTAGGACCATCTGAGGTTAATTTATATGCTTAAAGGGCCTCTTTCTTTATTGCCAATTGGTTTTTAGTTAGATTTTTTAGCTAAAAGAAGTTTTAAAATCTAATTGTAGCCACAAAAGACGTTTAAACAGAAGGAATCGAAGAGGAAAAACTTGATCTAAGATACCTCCCTAAATTTTTTACTATTAATCGCCTACGAAATGTTCAATCATGCTTCACACAAGCTTCACCACAGATTCTCAAAAGTCAATGATGTTACTCGAAGGATGACATGAAACCTAAGAGTGTGATGCACAAATGAAGAATCATCTACTCTTTGACTCTGACTGATTTAGATGAGTTAAATACCATATTAAACGACCAACCAACAAATTTGGGCCCAAAAATCAATCCACAGACCAAAGTGTTGGAATGGAAATCTCAAGAACCATTGACAGTGTGTATGTATCGAATACCAAAATTTTTTCTTTAAAACCCTATAAAGCGAAATTAGGGTTTACCTTTAAGATCGCTCTAGCTTGATCTTGTCTCAGCATGAACGCAGAACCTAACAACGAATACGGAAGACAGTTCAACGAATCTCGTGATTTTCTGTCGTATATCCCCCAACGTTAGAGTCCGGATGCAGAGTGAGCTTTTAAAATCTCCGAACTTTTTCTCTCCTTTTTAGTCTCTCTAAAAAACGTGAGTAAAGAATAGATGCTAATTTAGAGAGCCTAGACGTCTATATATAGGCTACGACAGAAACCCTAAGGATAAATAAAGATTGGCTTCCAATGGGCATAGGATTCCTATGTTCAACGCAGAACAAACATCCTATATCCCATTAATAATAAGTCAGTCCACTAAAAGTTTATTATTGATTTCCTGAGCCTTATCTTGAAATTATATTCGAGCTTTTTATTATTATATGCTTAATAATCTCCTCACGTTTAAGATTACCGAAGTTTATCAATTAAATAGATTATTGACAATTATATTTAATTGACTTATTTTATTCCTTGAGACTTTACCACTTAACTTATTTGTCATGTCGGATAATTAAATTCACTTGTAGGGTTTGACATGAACAAAACTTATAAGCTTCTTCAAGAAGACATCATCAACTCATTTAAATAATAGGACGTGGTTTTTTTAATAATTAATTTTTACCATATAAATAATATCGTCTCTCAATTCACCGAGCTTATTGACTCAATATAAATCTCACTCTTTGATGAATTAAAGTGACAAACATTATATGTACGTGACAATTAAATATATCAGGATTAAGAGCATAAACAATTATAATAATCATGAGGTATTTATTATCTTATTGAATTAGTAAAAGATAATAAGCTCAATATGAGTCTGTTCAATACACAAAGTGTACTAGTGCAATAATCTGAGATATCAAACAGTCTCCTACAATCAAGACAGACTAAGTTAGAATATTACACTATAATTATATTGATGGTGTGTCTAATTTCATTTAGGATTATGAACCAATACTAATATTATACAAGGATCTGATAATTTGATCTTCTGTGCATAAGCTGAACTCTACATACCAGATTATCTATAATATAAAATATAAGACACATGCATACCATATGCAAATATTTTGCCCATATAGATTCTCAATAAAATGGAAAGAATAAACTTTTATTAATTAATAAAACGAGTTTACTACAAAAAACAAGCTTTTATTATACTACTCAATCACAAAGTTTAATCAATGTCTAGCAATAGTAAAGAATGCCCAATACCCTTGAATCATGAAAACTGATTAAGTATGAATAGGATACATCCAGCAACGTATCAACCTTAAAATATCATAATTCACTAACCCTAAACTTGACTCCTCAAGCTCCCAAGTATGCTTCATGCAACATTTCTGAATTGATTTTTTTCTTTCTTGTATGCTTCACGTTAGGAGGGTAAGAGCATCTTAAATGAATACATACCATATGAATTGTATATGTTTTCATATAGATGTGTATGTTGTGTTTGCTCTTTTCATATTCTATTGCCAATCTATTTTCGGCATGTTGTATCCTGTCATGTCCGTATTGTTGTATCCAAGGGTCAAAATATTGTTTCGGTCACCTAAGAAACAGAAACGTTTCGACCCGTTTTGAAATTTAATGAAAAAAATAAAAAATTTAAGAATTATTTTTTTAAAACATTAATGAAAATATATTAAAATATCTTGAAACATTCTAAAATAATTGTGCAAATACATTGAAATATTATAATATATTTAAAAATATTATGGAATACCTCGAAATATCATAATTTTGATTTTATTACTGTTTCGTTTCGGTTTCCTTAGAAACGGAAACGTTTCGGATGTTTCGAAACGATATTTTGATCCTTAGTTGTATCCTATCGTGTCTATGTCTTGTGCTTGTGCCCATGCAACAAAGCAGACAAGAATGACATACAATGAATGGAGATATTAAACTAAAGAGTTGGTTAGAATACAGTATAGTGTTCGCTTGATGTGTTGTGTGCCTTTTTTTTTTTTGGGGGGGGGGGTGGGTTGCATGACATGGTCCTAGGGTAGTTCTAAGTTCTCCTTTAAGCTATAATCTCATTCTTAAACCTACTTATCGTCAGCATCCTGACAATGATTAAGATTCTTCATCGATTTAATGGAATTTGACATTATTGGAACGCATATACCCAAAACTAAATTAGCAAGGAACCTCACCGTGGTTGTTGCCTTGCTCCCTTCATTTCTGCAGATCTATGTCCCGGCTCTACATCATGAGACTCTTCCATATTTGACCCCAGGCTAAAAGAAAGTCCGACATTCTCAGAACGCAAATGCCCAAAACTAAGTTAGCAAGGAACCTCACTGTGGGGGTTGCCTTGCTCCCTTCGTTTCTGAAGATCTATATCCCAGCTCCACATCATAAGACTCTTCCATATTTGACCCTCCAATCCCTATCCCCAAGCTAAAAGAAAGTAAAAGGAGAAAGAAATGAAAAGAAAAATTAGTGATTTACTTCATACAGTGCCAGTTAAACAAGTTTTTTAGGCCAAGATAGAGTTGTTCGTATTTGATACTAACCTGACTCGCTTATTGTTCGTGAAAACTGTTTGTGTCATTTTAGAGGTGGTGTCGAGAACTAGTTACCTGTTGTGTCGTATCGAAAATTGCCACCCCTATACTCTCGTTTGGCCAGCTTCTTGCGCAGGGAATCTCCCTTTACCGTAAACCTCCACAACCATTTCCCAAGATTTCTTGATAAGGAGTGACCCAGCTTCATCACCAGGAGTTCCTATCTTGCAGCTGAGGGTACAACACATCTCGTCCCCCAAGTGTTACTTATAATCACTCCTCACCCTCATAAAGAGAAAGGGTATGTGAAAGTAAGGAAATTCCTTAGTAAGGACATACCTAAAGATTTTTGATTATTTATATTAAGCAGTGAATGATCCCAATAATTAATCACTGCCAGTATTATGTGACCACTGACTAGTAAATCTGATCGAATTATCAACATAAAACACAATATATTTTCCTTTAACATTGGATGAGTGGAAACCAGTCATTTTTCTCGTCAATTTCCTTAAATATCACCATTTTTTTTGGTTATTCTGATTGAAATCTGCATCCAGTAGTTGTTGGAAGAAAACTTGCTTCTATGGAGCATTGCTTTTAGTGCTCACCCATTCTTGTTAGTGCGACAAACATACATGTTACTTCCAACTGAATTTATATGTCTCTATTTATAGCAGGTTTTTGGTGATAGCAAAGATATTCCAACCAAAAGAGTGGATTGTGAAGATTCTCCAGATACTGTCAGTAAGTGGGTGCTTTGCTGGAAATCAGCTCCCTTCTGTTTGATTTTTGTATCTCATGAATTCTGGAGTACTGAAACTAGAAACATTAAAATCACACACTGCAATTTTTTTTTCTTTTCTGCAGAGTCTGATTTCTTTGAAAAGGTTTCGGAGAGATGGCGCCAAAAAAGACAGCAAAAAGAGCAGCTCTGTGTTGATTCACCCGGAGAAAATGATAAAACCAATTTGCCTCCTGACTCTGCCACCAGTATGTTTATTTCCTGATATATGAGTTAAAATAAGTTTGCTGCAGTTCTTAACTCAACATGTTAATATAAGAACATGGAGAGCTTTTGAGAAAGATTTTTGATGATGAAAGGAATTTTAGACATACCAGCCTAAGTGTTGTAGTTGATGTTAAATAGAAAATTCTCTATAGATATCATAATCATTTTTGCCCGTAAGGAACAAAGGGTAGTCTTATGCATATCGGGCCTGGGTATATACCATACCTATGGCTGAGCAGTCCAAGCTAGTGATTTGCAACCATGTCTGGCAGTATTGTTTGCCATTATTTGGTAGTCCAACATGATCAATCTAAGTTCAGCCTATAAAGCTTCCATATTGGTGCTGAAAAAACTGTGAGAGGAGAAAAAGAATTTGATTCCAAGAGCAAGAAATGGAAAATCCAAGTGTATGTAGTAATTTTTTAATGCATGGGTTTGTTCAATGGTCAAACAGCAAATAGGTGTGAATTTGTACGTCTTGAGTTTGAGTCGCACTAGATGCATCAAACCTGTGTTTTATTGATATATATGATTAACGGGTGATTGCATGCATCTGAGGGTTGCGCATGGTTGGCACTCTTTCAAACAACATGTAATGCTACTCAATGAAAATAGTGGGTTGTACGTAAACACCACCTAACAATAGTGAGGAAAAGGAGGTCCCTTGGGAAGATCATTTTCCTATTGTCATCCTCGTTTTGTATTTGCTTAGGCTTTCCTTTTCATTCTTTCTTTATGTATCTTTTGAGGACTTCTTTCCCTCTCATGTACTATTTCTTAAATCTTTAATGATATTCTTATCGTTTCCTATAAGAATTGGTATGAAGGCCGGATAAGGTTGTGCTTTTCCTTTTTTCAGCCTCACAAAGTAAGCTCTCAAAGTCCTACCTTAATCTTCTTCTTGGATTTCAATGTTCATGATTGTAAAAGGAAAGATCCTAAAACCAGTATAATTTGCAAAAGAATAAATTTCAGCAAGTCCTCTCATAATTTTAATGCAAGTACTGCGGCACAGCTTAGATATTGGATTCCTAAACACCGACAGTGTTAATGAATCACTTTTTTTAAACATGCAAGTTTTTCGACAACTTGTATTTTAACTTCAAAAAAAGGTCCATTGAACCCTCATCAGTTGCCCCAGCTTAAGACCTTGTCCAACCGGCACATGGTCTGGTGGGGTCATAGCATAATCCAAACCATGATCGAACCCTAAATACGGCTAGGTAAGGTTTGCATAATTATGGGATCATCCTTGAGGAATGCATTGGGGTGGTAAATACAACATTACTTCTTGAAAAAAAATTAAAGTTGCATAAACCCTTTTTGAGAATGAATGCCCAAAATTCCAATAAGATGGGAAGCAGTTGACATCTGAAGTTTTTCATAAACCCAATTCGTATTGTGCTTAACCTTTATATCAAGTTGAAAGGAACTTTGATATTAGAAACAAATATGTGAAACCAGGGCTAAATTGCCAATATAGTGTACATTGCCAAAAAAAATTCTTAATTGTCTATTGAACACCTGGGTTTATATTAATATATCAGAAATAGAACAGCCTTGTTTGCTTCGATTTAGTGACTGTGCATTACTCTTTCTTCAACATATTTGTTGAAGAAATACCTACTCTTCAGAAACCTCTTGTGAAGAAGTGTTTGCTTCTCATGTGGAGGTTTTTCATCTCGTACGCAACATAGAGCAGAAAGAGTTGCAGCTAAGAAGTTTATGGAATGTTTTGCAAGATGCTTGCATTTAATGCTGTCTACCGAAAAAACAGTGCTCATATTGAAAGTTTCAAACATACCTGAATCAAATTCTCCCCGGAAGGGTTTTTTTTTGGTGTGGGGGTGCTCTTTTATTCTGGTTAATTGATTGAATAACTTTTGTATTCAATTTATATCCAGAAGATATGAAGAGCCCTCGGCGGTCAAAGCAGCGGGCTAATACTACCCCACAGAAGCGGAGGATGAATTCTACACCGAAAAAGAAAGTGATGGATAGCGGCCTAGAAGAAGCATGTTCTGGACCAATATCAATTAATGCAGTACAGAGTGTCCATTCTTCACAACTAATTCCTGATCTGCGGTTAGAAGCAAAAATGACAGCTGAGGTTAGCCAAACACTCTGCTCTCTTTGACTATGATGGATAGTCTTTGTTGTTTTTCCTTTTCTCAGGATCTGGTCCCTTGGCCGGATCTGGCTCTCGGTCCTCGTGCTCATTTACACTTTACTTTCTATCACTTGCGGCAATGTAGATAGATTGTTGCAGATGAAGTTTTCTTTTTGGTTTATTTTTAATTTTTTTATTTGATTCAGGGAAGATACAGTGCTGCACTTGTTTCATTCAAACATTTGGTCAATTATTGCATTTTTAGGCTGTAAAAATGTTTGGTCTCTAAAGATCTTTCTTTGTTTTGTCAGGAAAATTCACGTATATTTGTGGGGAAGCAAGTACATCCATTTTTCTCATCATGGAAAATGTGTAAGAGAAACCACGAGATAGCTGATGCTAAATTGTGCTCTATTGAGAAAAAGAATAAACGTGTTACTTTCAGCCCTATTCATGTATTTGAGAAAGTTGAGGTACTCAGTTTTCCTTTTTTAAGAAGTATCTCGCTGATCCTGTTGGCATTTTGTGTTCACTTTTCTCACATAGGTGAATTTGAAATTTGCTCATGCAGGATGATGTTGTATCTCTTGATTGGGAAAATTGGATATTTTCTGAAAGTGGTTTTGTCAGTAATACTTGTCTAGGCAGTGGGTCTTCATCAATTTATGAAAGACGTGTCAAGTTCTTACAGTTCGATAACTTTCCAAGTATAACTCATCCAGGCAGAACTTCATTGTGCCAGAATGAGATTTCTTTGAATCATTGTTGCATTCAACATGAAGAGGTCTCTTTGAACCATTCTCTTACAGAAAGAGTATTGCATGTGTTATCACCCACACCGGCTGATGAGCAACTGGCCTTCTGTGAACTGCCAAAAAATACAGAAGTGGTACGTATTGGATCAATTATGCGGGATATGCCATCCCTTGTAGTCTTGAGCGAACTTTGTAAACTAGATATTCTGTCCTTTTTAGTCTTCACGATATTTTGCTGTTGCTGTCATTTCAATGTTTGTCTTGCAATTGTACCTGTGCTTTGTGATTTGGGAGTGAATATGATTCCATGAGTGGGGGTCATGACCATTGCAAAATTGGCAGAATCTTGAAATGGGCAAAGTTGATCTGCTGTCAGGGAAGGATGACTGTGTAAGAAAATCGCATGTTGAGTGGCAGGGAAAATTTCTTGAGGAAAGGTGAGGATTCTTTATGATCTTAATTCAATTTACCGATTATTTTCTTTAGTTTGTGTTTTATTTGAAATCTATGTTAATCATCCTTCCTATAAGTTTTGTTGTTTTGCATTGTTGCAAATTCATTTACCATTTGGTGGAGTGGTTTCGGATTCTTTTATTAAATATTTAAATGCAGTTGAAAATCTATGCTAATTATGCATCTTTTCTCGACTAAATATGTGTTGGGTATGTGCTTGCTGATGTTTTGAATCCCCTCCATCTTACTTCATGCACGATCTTAACGCATGATTTTGGGGTTCCTTTTTCGCGCATAAGCGAAAGAGCAATCGAATGGTTGATTGTCTGGATTTATAAGTATTCAAATAATAAACAAAGGGAAAACTCCATTGCATCCCTCATGGTAACTGCGGAAAATAGATTCAAAGCTTCCTGATCTTTTGACATTTTTAGTGGATGGCAATTCCATAATATAGAAATATGGTTTCAAATACATCATGTTGGTTTGATTGTATCCTGTGTTTCGTACTAAAGGGTATCATCTCTTGGACAAATGTAAGTCAAGGAAGAAAAACCCATCTTAATTGGTTGTCAGGCTTCTTTCTGAGTTTTGTTCTAGGAGGTATATTCCTTAACTTGAGTATTCAGAACAGTAAGCCAAAGCAAAAGGGTCTCGAGGAGCACCAACAGGACAAGGTTGCTCTATTGTTCAGCTGAATATCTATTTGAAATCATTGTACAACTGAATTCCCTATATGGATGTGCACTCATGATACATGTTTGAGGATCTGTTTCTTAATGGGGTGTGCTACATAAATCTTGCTTCATGGTCCTCTGCTCAAGGAGATATGTCCATGTCAATAAGTTCCTGCTGAAAGCCTAAAACTTGTAGGCCATATTTATTGCACAGAAAAGCTATTTATGCAATCCATTCTGGGACAATCAGTTAGCGTGGTTCAATTTTTACCCTCATAGGTAATTCATTATGACAAGCTTAGTGAAAACCTGTTGGGGATGTACCATAGAGTTGGATTAAGTTCTGTGTTGATCTTGTAATACTGATATTAGGATTAGAAAGAGAGTTTATATAAACCTGGGTTGCTAAAGCATTTTTTACCGGAGCTCATAAACCAATCTGTTTGTTTTTATTGTGTAGTCGGAATATAGCCAATCAAGTTTCTGGTAGATGATATATGAGCCAAATTTCAACGCCTCATTTGTTTATGTTGCTAAATCAAAAAAATGTGGAAGTTGGACAAGTATTTTGAGTAATGTATTGTGTTGCGGACATGAAGATATTTGTGGGAAAATAGAACATAACTTTTAATTTTCCTATTTTTTTCCGACCTAATACATCTGTAGACTACATTGTTAGCTGCTCACATGTATCAACATGACAGTATCAAATTCATTAATAGCTGTATCTGGTTGATGGTTTCCTTTCTATTGCACTGATGCATGCTCAGGATTATGTCACATTATCATGGTTCTGGCAATCAACCTGAGAACAGCCTATGGACAGACAAGTATCAGCCTGGAAAGGCCTTCGAGGTCAGACATTTGAATTTAATTACTTTTGTACTGCAATGAACCTTTGATATGTTAAGTCCATTAATATTCAGACAATGTTTCTTACTTTTGTTTTTCTTTTTGCATATTATATAAGTGACCACATATTTTTTTGCTAATAATTTGGTTTGTAGGTATGTGGTAATGGTGAATCTGTGAAGTTTTTAAGTGAGTGGCTGCATCTTTGGCATGAGAGAGGTTTTCGAACCAGCAAAAATTCTACTGGTGGCAAAAAAAGGTTTGAGCAAGATGTTGATTATAGTTCTTATCACAGTGACTGCGATTCTGATAATATAGATGACGAGACTAGTCTGAAGAATGTCCTCTTAGTTACAGGACCAGTTGGGGTATAATCTACTTCTCTTTTTTTTCTTTTTTTCCGCTCCGTTAATAAATCTGATCTGCATTAATGCTTGTACAATACTTAACTCTGATGTTGTTTCCATTTAGTATTGTGGAGTCATTTAGAAACATCATTGCATGTTTGAGGCACCATTTCTATCTAATCATGCATTTCAGTGCCTAGAATTCATCTGTTTATCAAATGTTTAATAAATTATTTTAGAACTTTGTACACCAAATCATTTTGTAGTTCTTTTGACATGGAAGTAAAATGAGCCAACTTGAACTCTTGTGAGCATGATGTTCAAAATGGGTACAAGACAGCATCTGTGGTTTTCTTTGTTTTTCTTTATTTTGTGGTGGGTTTTTTTTTTGGCTTCTTGGAATTGCAATAGACAGCTGGGAAAAAGGTGTGACTAAGGTATTCGTAAAAAGTGAATAGACTCTTTTGGCATTTTGGTTAAAAAGATATTTTTAGCAATAGCAATGAGTCCATTTTTGCTGGTACCAACAATTTTGCTATTTTTCAACTGAGACAAGAGGACTACATGTTTTGTTTATATCTTGTTAGCTACATTTATTTGGCTTAATATTCTTATCCATGGTTTAAAGTATCATTCGAGTCTGATATGACTTGGCCAAGTTGTACCTTTGATCCGAAACCGATACACAATACAAGAACATACGAATCAAGGTTGACTTGGTAACGACTCAGTATTATCAGTCCAACTCGGAGTTGTAATGCTTGAATCAGAAGAGTCAAAGACAAAACAAACTGATATGGTGCAAATCGTTTAGTAAGATCTCACAAAAAAAAAGTAGAGTGAAGAAAAGGGAGACGCCCATGTCTGTGAAATCTTGGAGATTTACCTACATCATTATCAAATTGTGCAATTTTTTTGAAATAAAAACCCTAAATCACACCCCATTTGATACCAAAAAAAAAAAAAAGAAGAAAAAGGAAGCAATTGGAAGGAATTGACTGGCGAACCTGTAAGATCGAAAACCACAGAGGTTCTTTCTCCTCCTCCTTCTCCTATTCTTCTGGGTTGTGAGATCAAAACCCTCACCTTGTGAATCTATCACCATCACGCAGCAGCCCGTCATCGCTGCTTCTTGGCAGCAATTGTAGCCCATCATCATTGCTTGTGTGTGTGTGTGTGTGGTATAGTCATCGAAGAGACTCGATAGAAGAGAAGGCTTTGTGCGTTTGTCTTATAAGTGTGGTTTCTTTTCCTTTTTTTTTTGGTTATAATTTGCTAATCACTAATCTGACATTTATGTATTTTTTTGTGGATCAGATTTGTTAAATTGCTGGGTAAGTAATAAGTGGAATCAGCTGTACATGTTATGGTTATATATAACATATATCTATTTAAGACTTAAAATATTGAATTGATATATTTTATTAAGTGTTCTTTTTTATATACAATACAAGTAAACAAATAATAATTTGACATAAATTAGTTAATCTATAATTAGGTGTACACTGATGTCTGATGATGAATATTTATGGTACTGTCATAAGACTTTACTTTCACTACATCTAATGTGCTAGATGATGTATTTTAGGCGTATGATGCATAGATACAGTTACTTGCAATTTTTTAGATTTTTTTTTAAAAAAATCGGGCCTTCTATTGAGTTTATTTTGCGTCTCAGCCAATACCGTGCTGCGACGTTGCATTCAATTTGTATCATTGCCTTCTGACTCGATGTCTACCCTTAAACCATGTCCTTATCCCTGTGATTTTTGATTAAAACTAGTCCTCACATGCATTTGACATTTTGCAATATGTTTTGTTTATTTTCTTGCCTTAGGTACTTATGTTCTTGTATTGGAGTTGATATAAATAATAGAATATGAATGAGAGAATCCTAATTACTCTTTCTTTTTCAGGCATAATGATTGTCTCTTTTCCTTTTCTCTTCTCTTTTTCACTTCTTCTTTCTTCATTAAATGGTGAATTATAATGAAACAATGCAAAAGTCTTGGCCAAACCCTCCCCAAGCCTAGCTCTGATACCATGTTGAACCATCAATTAATCTAAAAGCTGAAGCTGTTAAATAAAGTGTAACATATCTATAATATACTTCAACATAAAAGTTTGCAAACTTTTGTATATCATAGGTACTTTCAATTAATGTACATCATGCATGATTTTGCAATCTATTTCAGTTTCTTTGGGTTAACATGCATACTTGTGATCACTAATGGTGGTGTGCATGCCTCTTTACTGCAGAGTGGGAAGTCTGCAGCAATCTATGCTTGTGCCAGAGAGCAGGGATTTCAAGTTATTGAGGTACTGTTAAAGTAATAGAAGTTTCATCATGCTTCTCTACTTTATTTTGCACCCTCCTCTACAATTGGACTCATCTACCTCTCAAGTTTGGAAGCTTATAGTCTGAAGGTGTTGAAAGAGTTATATTAACTGCAGCACTTGAACATCTGACCTGTTATCTTGCTAGGTCAATGCATCTGATTGGCGAAATGGATCTCTTGTAAGGCAAAAATTTGGAGAGGCTGTAGAATCATGCTGGCTTCAACGGTTTGTCAAAATTCCATCATTATCTGCTGCGCCCTCAATTCTGTATTTTTTTCGTTGAAGGAAACAACATATAGGGGTGTCAAGCATATCGTGTTCGTGTGACCAACGTGTCGGGTCATTGTTATTTGTGTCGTGTTCGTATCAAGACTTACAAAAAAAAAAAAATCTATTTAGTGTGTTCTGAGTATTAACCATTAGTCTAGACTTCTTATTATGCGTATTTAATAATTGTGTCAATTTTATAATAGTTCGTGTCGGGTTTGTATCAACGGGTCAGAGCTGACACCCTTAACACCATACATGCTTTCAGACATATTCCTGTCATGCTAGTGATTCATATGTTTGAGGAAGTGAATTTTGTTGTTAAGGACAAACAATAATTGTATGCAAATAAGAATCTTGTACAAAGATAAAGAAAATGGAAGAGGATGTCTAAGAAAGCAAGAAACCTAAAGAACTAGTACAAAAAATAAATTACCTAGGAGCAAGTTCCGTATAGAAATGATGATTATTTAGACCTAACACCCAAAAATACAAAGAAGGAGGTCTGAGCTTTGGTGACAAAAATTTTGGTGGATTTCTTATCCACTGTTTTCTACTTATTTATTTTTAATGCATGAAAGCGTTGTTTCTCATAAAAAAGGGTGAATTTGAAGTGGGGAATTTGGATAAAAGGAACATTGCATGGTTGAGAAAGTGATTGTTTAGATTTTCAGCTGAGCGGCACTTTATGGCATTCTATTATTGCAATTTATATTGGTTTAATTCTTGAATTAAACCTCATGAATTCCACTATTTTAATTTCTTTTTTTGTTTTCGCATTCTACTCCCCTTTTTACCTATATAATGCACAACACCCACAACTTTTAAGACTTTTGACCTAAAGGCATCACACAACACACTCACCTACTGTGAACTCTATACACACAATGGTTGGGGATGTGTCCACTTATTTGTTTTACTTTATTATTTCTTTTCTTTTCTTTATTTTCCTCACTTATCCATTTGGCTAGCACTCGCACATTCCTTTATATATCACCTACACACCTAGACAATTCGCATGAAACCTATGAAGCTTGGATATAGATACGGGTACGATATAATGCAAATATGACAATACGACAAAATATAAAAAAATAGGACACGGATATGGCGAGGATATGTCTGTAACAAAATATATTTTAGATTTTTACTATTATCTACCAACTTAAAAATTATATATTTTAGTAATCTTTAACAAAAGTATATATCATATCATTGGGCTATATTCACAAAATAAAGTGACTAATTAAAGGAATTAATAGTAATATTTACTTGGTTGGTTTGTTTGGAAGTATTTGTAGCTAAGATTATAATGTAATAGATTCACTTTATGCTCTTATGACGTGTAATAGTAAATAACACTTGAAAAGTACTCATGGATCTTCAAAGTAGTATGAAATTTTGTTGATGTATCATATGGTATGTGAATTTAAAAGTAGATATTAAAAATTATATATATTGCTAAGATACAAAAGTACTCACCAAGTATTCAAATATTTAATAATTATCAGATACATAGGAGTATCCGATACGTATCTTTGAGTATACGTCGAGTATCGTATTAGTATAGGTACGCCGGCCTCAATGAAGTATCTGAATTTCATAGCATGAAACACTCGTCCATCCTTATTATATTTATTATATTTTTTCTTCTCTTCTTGAAGTTGACTAACTATAGTTTAATCTCTTAATCAAATTGTAATTAGTTTACAAACTATAATTTCACCTCATAATAATGATATCATTAATTTATAGTCTTGAAATTTAGGGAAGGATGCTACACGATGAGTCTTCTTTTCCACGTTTGTTTCCATTTCTTGGGTTGGGTGAAATTTTAGTTTTTTCGTGAAATTTGAATGACAGGAAATGCAGGGACTTTATTCTTTGTTGGATTTCCTTAATTCGGTGTCTTTGGTTGGCTTTTGAGGAAGATTACTCTTTGGGCATTTTTTCTTGTAAATCTTTCTTCCATTTGTTGATTGACAATCCATCCTCCTCAGTTTTGGAGCAATCTAAAGGTGATTTGGAAGACTAAAGTGCATATTAACCTGCAGATTTTTGCATGGACTGTTGCTTGCAAGAAAATTAATACTTTTTGATTTGAGTCAGAGAAGGCCAAATGCTTATATTTCATCTAACTGTGATGAGATCACCCACCAATTTTTTCTCCATTGCCTTGGTGTGTTAGGTTATGGCATGATTGGAGACGTTGCGATCGATTGGGTTATCCCATGGAGTTGTGTTTCTGTTTTTGAAGGATTTTAGAGGCTTTGGGAGGAGTAAGAGGGTGTCCGGACTTTGGAATAGTAATGATTATTTCAGGGTAATGTGGAAGGAAAGAAATTATAGGATCTTTGATGTCATTATGGATCAAGTTGATTCCAGTAAAGCTCTATAGGTGATGGTTAAATTTTTGCCTACATAAATGGGTTTTGATTACGGGAGAGTTTAGAGTCCTTGATTTCTTTCTTATTCATCGAAATTCTGTTGTGGATTGGAGATAATGGTCTGATTCAAGTTTTGAAATATTTAATTTTCTAGTTTCAACTCTCTGTAATTATGGTTCGATTCCTTGAGACCACTCTTTTCCCTTTTGAATTTTTAATAAAAGGGACATTATGATTAAAAAATAACTATTCTTCCTCAACTTTTTGATTGAATTGTTGTATTTTTGTTTATCAAGACTTTTAGTGGGCAAGTGATTGAGTTTGATTTATATTTGATTAGCAAGCTTATCAAGTTTTTTTTTAATGTATTTGAGTCTTTGTTGTTTTTTCATTTGATGAAAGTTTATATATAATCCCCACTTGTGTCTTGAGATGAGTCATGTCGGAGAAATTTAAATGAGATTTAGGCGGGGAAGGGAATAAGAAAAGGAATGCCAAATCCTTGCAAAAATTAGGTTATGAAACACAATTCTCCTCAGTGAATACCTAAATCAAAATTTAACTCCGATTAAAATAATAAGGATTGCATCCATATTTATGGACCAAGTCTCGTATAAAAATAGAAAAAGTCTCCTGCTAAAATTATATCAACTTATCCCAAACATTCTCAATTTATAATAAATACTATTTAACTAACATTCAAATAATAAATAATCAATACAACCAAGATAAATGCTAATAAATCTACTTGGTACACTTACCTTTGGACGAAAAAATTCCGTCTTCCAACTAGGCTTCCAAAGACGGTCACATCAGCCAAACATGCAAAGGCTACGCCATCAGTTTCTGTCCCCCACCCCCTTTCCTATATTTTTCTCAATGTATATTACATTATGCTCATGTACTCCAGTCTCCAGATATCAAAGTGGTTGTTGCCCCTTCCTCCTTTTCTTTCTCTTCTCTCCTTTCCTCCCAATTATTCTCTTCTGACGGTGTGCCTTCCCATCCTATCTTCAAACTTTATTCATCTCGAAACAATTTTAAGAAACCATTTTTTAGATAAGTAAGGTATTTGTCACACAATATCGTTAAAAATATGCACAAGAGGTATACAGATCATGGAATCCAATTGTCATCTTCATACTTAAATATCTTGGGTATTTTCATTCCTATGGAGCTGAAAATTCTAGGACCATAAATCTTACCTTTCCCAAAGCATTCAAGACACCCTTTTTTTAATTCAATCCTCTATTCTTCTTGATAACCCCTTCAAGATCATTTGGTGCGGATTTTCTGTTCGCTGCTGCAACACCGCAAGAACTGTCAGGTAGACTTGTGTAGAGGGGTAGTTTGCTTGTTACAAAATCATTACTGACCCAATGAAGGTAGGAAATTTTCTTTTGTACCATACGTTTTATGATTTCTGATCTTTTACTTAATATGACCAAGGCATTCCCTTAGCATATTGCATGTTTATTTCAAAAAAAGAAGTTGACCACCATTGTTCTCAAGATGTTATGAGATTCTACATTAATATACTTGCTTAACGGCTCGCTAAAAATTATTACTTGTGATATGAAGCAATTGATGTTTATGTGTTTAGTGGTATGGTATGTGGTTATCTGAGATTGATTCTTTTTGGAACTCTGGCTTTTCAGATTACCTCTTATGATCTGGTTCCTCAATTCAATGTTTCCTGAACATCTTTGTGCGTGGTGTTTGTTTCTGATGAATTTAGTCAAATTTTCAATCTCATGAACATTTTCGCTTCATCAATAGTGCATATGCTAGAAATTTCCTGCTACAGAGAATTTTTACTTGAAATCATGCCAAGAGCTGAGGATTAGCCATTATTGTATGACCACTGTCACCACTGACAACTTGAAGAGATATCAAGACATCATGAAGTCCCGAGCTATAATATGATCCTTCATCCCTTCTAATGGTGATTTTTATTGCAGTCCAGCAAATCCAGAGAACAAGCATCCATTGAGATCCTCAAAATCTGCACTTAATACCCTAGCGGACCAAGGGTCTGGTAATGAAGTTATTGAACTTATACCTTTATCAGATGAGGAAGATTCTCAAAATGCCAGTAGAGTGCCTGGGAAATCAGTCTGTAAGGAGAATAAAACTTCTAGTGATGAATGTAACATTAAAACCTTGGTACTTTTTGAGGATGTGGATGCTACTCTATATGAAGATCGTGGTTTTATTGCTACAATACAACAACTTGCAGAGACTGCAAAGCGGCCCATGATTTTGACTAGCAATAGTAAGAGGACTTATTGTTTGACATAGTTTTATGCATCATGTTTGCATTACTAGGCGTTATAAATATTTTTGGGATATATTTTCAGGTGACAATCCTGTCCTCCCAGACAATTTGGACAGGCTAGAGGTGTGTTTCACGATACCATCATTGAAGGAGCTCCTTGGCCTAGTACATCTGGTATGGTTTTCATGCGTTTTATTTTCGGTCAGATTTTCCATCATGGAGATCTATTTTCATTTGAATCTATCTTTTTATTCCTCTGCAGATTTGTGCTGCCGAAAAAGCTAAAGTTCATCCTTGCTTGATAGAGCGATTTATTGGTTATTGTCATGGAGATATTCGTAAAACCATTATGCATCTCCAGTTCTGGTGCCAGGGTGAAAGTTTTGGAAAAGGCAAGTCACATGGACAGATGTAGGGAAGCTTTATGCTGCTTGTTGATTATAAAATTTGTTGTATAACTGCAAACGATGTGGGAAAGTTATAGTTAAGATATTGCCTAATCTGATGGGAAGTCACATTCTTTATTTTGCCAAGGGTGGTCTGCACAATATATAAATCCTCAATTGCTGAGGGAGCAATTTGACACTATGATGCATGTGGCATTTAATGATTTCAGATTGTTGTGCCATATTTTTTGGATGGGAGATTTTTTTTCTTGTACAGTAATTTGTACATATAGGGTAACAAACTTTTTTTCGGAAAGTAGGGCAACATAAACTTGGATTTGAGACAATACACTTAATACTCCGCAGTTTATCATCAGTGCATTTTGTTCATGAGTAGAGTTGACATGAATATTTGTTTCCCTTTGTTTTGTGCTAAGCATTTATGCCATTAATTTCTATATAGAGCCAAACTGAATCTTCTTATTTCAACATCATGTATAAGTGCCTGCCTAGTGCTTGGAATGCAGTAAAGCTTGTAATTAAGTATGTGATTTATATTTGCATTTTATTCCATCTTCAATTTTATTTTCATGTTGTCATTTTCCAGATAGTGAATTGCGGAGAATGTATCATCCACTTCTATTTGATCTTGACGCTGGGCACCAAATACTACCAAAGATAGTACCTTGGAGTTGCCCTTCTCGGATGTCTGAGCTTCTGGAAGAGGAGATCACTAAGTCATTGTTTATGATGGAAGAAAGCAATAGCTTAACAGAGATAGTTGAGGAGGATCTAGACAATGATGTACCTAATACTTTTAGTGTGCATGGCAATGAACCAGACACTGTTGGGGCCAAAAAGGTAGCAATGTTAAGTATGCACTGCTCAGTTCAGGATGGCAATGATTTTGCAGTTCAGTTTGATAATACCTGTGAATTTTCCACTTCCTCTGGCTCCCCCATTGCATTCACTAGGCGAAATGCTCGGAGAAAACTTGACACAGTACTGTCCTCTGATTCAGGAGAGGAGTGTTCCTGTGATGGAGTTCCTGTTGTTTCGGGCAGGCCATTTGATTACACTAATAGTGAAGTACTCCTTGAAGTGAATAACAAGTCTTCCTCTCATTGTGTAGCAAGTGAAAGACACTGCAACCCTTTAACTGAGTATCTTTGTCACTCAGAAGGGAAGTTGGAGAGAAATATTTTTCAGTGTTCGGAAACATCGGATAATTCACATATTAATGCTATGTGCACAGTAGTTGATGTATCCTGTGTGCCAGAATCGTTTGTTCCTGAGACTGAGGTTAACAATGGAACAGTTCTATTTTCTAGGACTGTGTCTTGTAGTCATGTTGCTGACAAAGTGGAAGCAGCTTCTACGAGTAATGATTTTATGCCAAACTTGTTTCCATCTGAGGGCAACAATCTTTGTAAGTCTTTACCAGGATTCCATAAAAATCGTAAGATACTGGGTAATACTTCGGATATATTTGTGGAATCATTTCATGGAGAGGAGGTGGGGGATTCTCATGTTGGCTGTGTGGAAGTTAGTCCAAAAGAGTATCAAGCTATGGATGAGTGTAGCCGCATAAACTTCGGCAGGAGCTCCAAATTAATGGAGAAACATAGCTCCGGATCGGTGATTGATACTGTACAGGAAACATGGAGAAAATTTCGTGATGGTCACATGGATCTGAAACAATACATCACCCCCGAACAGAAAAATGCTTCCCAAGTTCTGAAGCAAGCTTGTGGAATAAGTAATCTTATTTCAGAAGCTGATTTGTTACTTAATGATTGCCAACCACTTATATGTGTACGTGTTTTTAGCAGTTTTGGATTAGATATTGAGATGCCTTTTCCTTTTGATACGTTGAATGTGCTGTTCATGATGGTCAGTCGGTATTTTTGCAGGATTATCTTGAAACGTCAGTGATTACTTCTGAGAATTCACATTCATTTGGCTGGCATGATGACCAACTGCAGATGGCCTCAACAATTGCACAACATGGGATTTGCTTTTATTCCAAAAAAATTGCTGCTTTAGGATCAAACATGGAGTATACTAGCACAGTGGATTTGGGCTGGGAGATGCTGACATCGTCAACCAGTACAATGGCATTGGGAAAATTGGTTAGTCAGGATAGGAGAACGATTGAAAGTTTAGAGATGGAGCTACCCATAACTACCACTTCATTAAAGAGGTATTGGATTATGTCTTTTATTCATAGTGCTCACACATTGTATGTACTCCTAATTTACTGCATGTTTATTTGGATCAACTGAACCATTCAAGTTCTTCAACTGTTAGATGCATTTAAATGGTTTTTGTAATTCTGCTCTAGAGTTGGACTGGATGTAATTCCCCGTCGTTTACCTGTTTTGAGAATCTGTTAGCATTCCTGTAACCAAATGCGCATTTTCTCTGTCCTGCAGTGATTTGGAGTCATGTTTTTGCAATATACTTCAGTCCATAGTTCCGTCAAAATCCCACTTATCATTAAGAGGTGATGCATTTCATGAATACCTCTCGTCGTTGGGCCAGATTTCCAGATCAGAAGCCTCACGCTTATCAGAAAGCAGTGACAAGATGAAGCGAAGAAGGTATGTTCGTATGCTGTTAAAAATAGGTTTCTTGCAATCTCAAAGACATTGGAAATTTATGGCACTTAATAATAACATGTACTCATATCGTTTTGCAATGCCGTGTTGCAGGGCACGTGTTCCCAGACATTACTTGTCTTCTGGTGCACTAATGTTGTCCTCTGAATATATATCCTTGCTAAGTCAATATAATTGCTATCAGAAGGTTTCTTCCCAATCCACGGATGCAAGCTTGAGATGAATGTTTTCTTGAGAAAGGTCAATGGTGTAGATGAAATTGACATTTATTTATGCCAATGAAAGTGTCAAGGGCTCAATGCAGCTGCCATGAAAAACCTTATACGCTCGAGAGTTTTAGATGTGGTCATCTCTATATGGTGATTCAGAGGTGCTGCTGTTATTTGTCTTGGTTGGTATCAATGGCTAATGGCCCGGGCACCAAATTAAAGCTGAACTTTTCAGAGCGACTAGAAAGAACGAGCTCGAGAGAAGCAGGTACATTGATTCTAATTTTTAAGGTACAATTTTGCTCATCTACTAATTGTAATTCTTACAGGGCCTAATTTTTTCTGCTAGAAAATATATGATCCGAAAGTAATAAGATATAATTCTTGGTGCCAAAATTTCACATATCTTCATTCGACAGTCCCTCCAGAGTGATAAGAAAATTGTTTAGTTGTTCCATAGCTCAACTATTATACATTGTTGGAAGCTAATCAAAACTAGTACAAGTCCTTTAGACACAGGTTTGATGCTAAGATCCAATATGTAACCCGGCCCCATTTACACTGGTTTGACAGTTTGATCCAATATGTAGTCCGGTTTAGACACTTGTTTGATGGGTTTTTGGGTTGACCTGCAGGGCTGGGCTGAACTTTTTTTTGGTTAAGTACTGAAAGATAATATATTGCAAGATCAATTAGGTCAATATATCTTGCAATTCGGTCTCTAACATGCCTAAATTTCTTGGACGATGAAACCAAAATTATTAACAAACAATTTTTTTTTTTTTGCTAGAGTAAAAAAAGGATGAGGACAAAGGATAGTGCTCAGAGAGCATTTTAATAAGTCCTTGTTGGTGGGATCATGAGGTTTTCGATTGCATTCGTTATCTTTTTCAGGAATAAACTTAGTTAGACTAGCATAACAATAACAATCAACTACTGAATCTTAATGTGGATTTGAAGACTTGAATTTTTAATTTCAGGAAGTTCGGTTGGTATATCATTGGACCACTTTATTTTGTCAAACTAGTTTTTAATGCTTATATACTAATCAGATTTGTCCCTTTTTGGGTATTTGGAGCTCGAATTGGAGTTATAGTTGTCTAATCTCATTTTGCTCGAGTCTGCATTCACTTTTTAAAATAGTTGTCTAATTTCATTTTGCTTCCTGAAAGATTGTTCAAATTTTAATTTGCACCTTCAAAGATCAAAAATTTTAATTTGCACCCTCAAAGATAGAGAAATTTAGTATCAATGTATATTCCAAAGATAAAAAATCTTAATTTGTACCATCAAAGATAGAAATTTGTATTAATGTGCACTTAAAATTAAATTGATAAATTATACCTAGATTTTCTCATGTTTGTCATTTAATCATTTGAACTCCTTCACATTTAGAATATTTCTCTTACATCTCATGACGTTTGTGCATGTGTAACACATAATCACTTTTCATTGATATCTGTTAATATAATTGTTAAAAATTATGATTTTATCCTAATAAAAAATTATAATTTTATATTACTTTTTATTTTGTGAATTCGATATACTCTAAAGTTGCAAATTAAGCTTATCATTTGAATGTCTAATAAAATGTAGATATTTATATAAAAGGTAATATGAAAAACATTATATAAATATTTATATTTTATTAGACATTCAAATGGTAAACTAGATTGTGAACTTTAAAATATATTGAACCCAAAAAATAAATGGTAATATGAAATTATAATTTTTTATTAGGATAAAATTATATTTTTTAACGGTTATATTAATAGATATCAATGAAAATGGATTACGTGTTATACGTGCACAAATGTCATAAGATGTAGGAGTAATATTCTAAATGTGAAGAGGTTTAAATGATTAAGTGACAAGTATGAGGGGATTTAGGTATAATTTATCAATTTAGTTTTAGGTGCATATTGATACAAATTTCTATCTTTGAGGGTGTGCAAATTGAGATTTTTTATTTTTAGGGTGTAAATTGAGATTTTTATTTTTGGGGGTGCAGATTGATACAAATTTTATATTTGAGAGTGCAAATTGAGATTTTTGATCTTTGGGGTGTTTATTGATATAAATTTTTATCTTTGAGGGTATAAATTGAAATTTTTGATCTTTGAGGGTACAAATTGAGATTCGAACAATCTTTCGGGATGCAAAATGAGATTAATCCTTTGTTGTTTTGGACCCCGAAATTATTTATTTATTGTTAATGAATTGAGCCGGACCACACCAGGCACTGCTATGGTCCAGCTTTTGTTTTGAACCAGTTAAAAAAACTTTTATCATATTCGGTGTACTTCCTATAGAGTAACACTGAATCTGCGTTCCAAAAAACATTCGTAGTTCAAACAAAAAAGTGTACTTTTTAATATGAACAAGTTGATCTCAACAAAGCTTGAGTAGGTTATTCATTTTACAGCTCTAGGTCGCGGTGGCTCAGGTGGATGAGTCGGGGGTTTGGGGAGAATGTTGTAGGGGTGGTGGATGGTGGTGGCTCTTGTTCGTGTGGAATGGGTTAGTCATTTCATTAACTTTTGTTGTTTATTTTGTTAAAAAACACTCTTATTGGTATTAATGGAATGAGTACAGAAAAGTTATATTATAATATTTTTAATATATTAATGGTATAAAATAAAAATTAAATTTTTTAGGATGCAAAGTGTAATTCTCCGTTTTGTGAATCTAAGGGGATCTGTGTAATTCTCAAGTTAGGGTGTAATTAACGACGCTGTTTGTGGTGCTGAATGCTAATTCGTCTGTTCTGTTCTGTCCTGTCCTTGAGTTCTTCAAAAAGGGTTGAAACTGTTCATAGTTTTGAACTTTTAAATTTGTCTCAGAAGCTGAGATTCCCAAGAAAACTGAACACACTATTCCTGCCAAAAAGGTGGTAATGCCGTGAGAGTATAGATAATGATAATGACATAGAGCTTGTAAAACGTTAATAGTTGCATTGTAATCAGCCCCACTAACCAAAAACAACAATAATGTGCAACTGAAACATTAGCGATTAGCCTTGTTGCGATTCGGAAGATTTAATTTTACATCATAAATCTCGTAATTTAGCAGAGAAAGTGATAAATTATAAATTTAGATATCTTGAGTTTAAAATTTTATAATTTTTTTAAGACTAGATTTTGAGGAATAAATTCGTCATAAATTGTCTAATTCTTGTGTGGATGATCTGACATTGATCAGCCTATAGAAGAAATTAATCAAAATGTTCGCAAATTGATTAAAATACTTTTACCACAAAATCATAGTTTTAAGGTGTGTCAATTCAATTGTGCTGGTGGTCCTGACATTCTAGATACATAATAATAAATGTCAGAAATAAGTTAAAAAAGTTTGAATTAAGACGATTTAAATTTATACAAAATAGATATGATACGATGCATTATAAATAATATGCTATTAACGATATGAGATCTCAGAAGATAAACAGTTGATGGTTTAAAACATGGTAATTGGATTGACGGAAATTTTTTTGTCATTTGTGCAATTTTGTTAGAACGTAGTTGAATAAATGATCACGTTGTGTATGCAAACTGTGTGTGGTTATTTATAACAAGTTCAGCCAATCTGATGGTTGTGTGTGTGTGTGTGAGAGAGAGAGAGAGAGAGAGAAGTTCATGGATGTTATCGAAGTTCTTAAACGATAAAACAGCAAACAGTTCAATTAACAAGCCAAGTTCCATTTACTTAGACAAAAAAACAAAAACGCAAAGTAAATGCTTTGAAATGTGGTTACTAACTTAAGAAACAATTCTTCTAATGGTTAGCTTGGAAAACTTGCGAAAGAACATAATAAGTTAATACGTGATTGAGTTAGTTGGTGTTTAAGAAAATTGAAAATTATGTGCTGATAATTAAATACTAGATTTTGTATTGATTACTAAATATTTTAATTTGCAAATTGTTTGGTTTTGAAAAAAATTTAAACATTGAATTAGGCCAAATGGTTTAATTAATAATACGAAGAACTAATTTCCAAATATTATGTTTAATTTTGTTTTTTCCCTCTATCACCTCACCGCTATTATCTTATCCTCACCACTCCGCAATCATTGCCACCAAACTACAAACATCTTTGTCACAGTCCCACCATTGCCTCAACCAGCTTGCCACCGCTACTCACCCATTGTTGCTACCTCCGATTCTAACACCATTGTCACCATCACTATTGTTGTCAGATACTACGTTACTATTTTTATCACCATTCACCCACTATTAGCGTCACAATCCCACTATCACAACCTTAATCCCCCAAACCATAGCCGTCATAACTGTTACCATTTCCCATTACCACCTCCATACCACCATTGCTACCCCCCCAAAAAAAAAAAAACAATGGTGGTTGGGGTATGGAAATAATAGTTAGATTGATGATGAAAGTTAAAAGGCAAAGTTGGTGGTGGTGGTGGAGGAATGGGGAAATGGTGGTAATGATGAATGAATTGATATGAGGTGGGGGTGGGGCTGTGGCAGTGGGTTAATCATAGTCGTGGTGGCGATAGGGTAGTGATGTGACAATTGGGGACGACAAAGCCAATAATGTAGGTGGGTAGATGATGGTGGTTTGGTGGAATGTGCTGACGATGATTGTGGTGTTGGTGGTGACAATAGTGGCAGTGGGTTAATTGTAGTCACGGTCACGGTGGGGTGATGAGGTGGCAATTAGGAATGGTGAAATCAAATTATTTGAGGGCAAGTTTGTTTATTATGAGAAGTTTATAGAAAATTATCAGCTAGAATCTTCATGTGATAAGTAAACATCTATTTAAAAGTTTAGTTATTTTTACGAGATATTTAAAAATTTAAATGATATGAGTTTTAATTATCAAACAAACTTGATTGAAAAAGTGCACAATATTTTGAATTTTAATCGATAAGCTGAAAATTAAGTACTGAATGCTGAAATTTTTAGTCTACAAACTGTTTGATATTTACTGAAACTTAAATACCGAATTAAATCAAACTGTTTGACAAATATAAATAGTTAAAGTCTGAA